AGGGAAAGGAAGTATATAATGTTCTATGAAAATGTCTTTGTTTTCATGACCTAAATAAACTACAGCCTGATGAGTAAGTCCAATGATAATAACAACATGTGAAATGAGACTTGATTAACCAAATCCTCCTGTCCTGGCAATGCTATTTATGTACCGGATAAAATCAGGATTCTCAACCTATTTCTTTACAATTTATTTCATTGGAGGGAGAAATGAGTATTGGGATCTTCAAGTGAGAGTTGGAATGTTCTAGGTAACGCCATGGTCCCCTCTTGTGAGAAATCAGTGCTGTGGGTCCAACCTTGTAGGTTCGTAACTACAGAATTGCAGGAAGATTCTTTTTATTGTCAATAGAAAAGATAATAAATATGTACATTTAGAAGGGTACAACGTGGTTTTTGATGTTTGTACACATTGTGGAGTGATCAGATCAGACTATTTAGTATATTTATCATTTAGTATATTTATCATTTACTTGTAATGAAAACATAAAATCTGTTTTGAAGTACATATTATTATTAACTTAGTTATTCTAAAAACCAATCCGTAAACACATTCAAAAATTTCTGTGGGCCCCAGTCTCCTTTTCCGTTAACTAAAAATTAGAAATGTTGAACTTCAAAGACAACTATTGGTCTAATAATCAATGAAATTAGGTTTTATTTACTTTTGAATTGTTTCACAAATATTTTTATTGTGTATTCTAAGCTCAGTACTAGGGGTATGGTTGTAAAAAAAACTATTGTCTGTGCTCTTATGAATCTTAGATGATAGGAGGGACCATAACAGACATTCAAGGACTAGTTAGATAAATAAGTGATTGTAATTGTGATACGTGCCATGAAGGGGAAATAGAGGCAGGCTGCTGTGACCTAGTTTAGTATAGGATCAGAGGAAATTTTCCTGAGGATTTAAGACATTTAAAAATTATCTTAAGTGAAGTAAGCCAGGCCCAAAGAAACATAGGTCCCATGGTTTCCCTTATTTGCAATAACTAGTATATGTCTGAGTCAAAGATAAGTTGATGTTAGGGAAATGCACCCTAAGATATGTATTCAAATGTTTTTTTCTTTCATGCGATTATTTCTTATACATTTATAAGATTATTTCTTTGTTGCTTTGTATGTCCCTCCCCCACAGTATAACCCCTGCTTTCACTGTATTTGATGTCAGTATAATTTGTGGAGGGGAAGGGGGAAAACAAATCGTTTAAATAGGGATACAGGTGGACCCATTGCAACAATGAGATGTTCAAGTCGTTATGTCGAAAACGAACTTTACAACTTTGGTGCGGGGCAGGGGGGGGGTGGTGAGGATTGGGTGGGGGGTAGGGGGGAGGATGGGATGGGATGGGAAGGGGAAACAAAGAAGGAGGCTACAATGCTTGATAAGAAATGTACTCATGATCTTGCCCATGTAATTATAACTCCTCTGTACAGTATTTTCACACACAAAAAAAGACATTTAAGACATGGATGATTAATTGAAATCAGGTGGGTGAGCAGGGCTGAAAGGATTTTTAACAAAGACTATGTGGCAGGATAAAATCTGGCACAACTGAAAAGTAGAAATATGCACCGTATGGCTGAGAGAAAGAGAGGGGAGCCACAACGTGAAACAAATTCAAGAGAGACAGTTGCCTTCTTTTGAAGCATCATGAACAACTGAAAGTCATGGAGGGGTGTCAGAGATCAATCTGGGCATGGACAGATAGATGTATAATGATTGGAAAGTACAGTCAGGTGCTCATAGTGGATGCTGAATTTAGGTGGTGAATGGAAGTGTGTCCACTATAAAGTTTCTTCAATGTTTCTGGAAGTTTGAGTGTGTATTTAGAGGAAGAATCAATAGGATTTCCTTATTAATTTTGCCTCAGGACAAATAAAGTCATGAGAGTACGGTATGTGTAGTCATATCTGGGAGGCTGCATACAGTCAGAAGAAAAGAAACACTAAGCACTGAAGAATTCCATTTTTAATAGTTGTGCAAAAAAATGAGCAAAGAGAGAAGAGGAGCAACAAGTGACAAGAAACAAAAAGATCAGGGGTACGAGATGTTACAGAAGGATTCTTAGCTTGTTTTCAATCTCTTGCAATAAATATACCTTTGTGTACTCATTTTCCACATATGCACCTATCTCTGGAAGAGAGATACTCAGAAGTACAATGGCTAAGTAAAATATATTTTGAATAGTTTGAATTTATAAAAGCTTGCCTAAACACAGATTGATGAGTTAACCATGTTCCATGGGGCATTCTGATGTATGACTGGTTAAATTTGAAATATTCCTATAATATCATGGGGAAAAAGTGAGGCTGTCAATGCATTCTTCTATGGATCAGGAAGGAGAAGGATTCTTCTCAATCTTGAACTATTAAAATTTTGTGCTATTCACAAGTATCACCTACATTTCCTTTTATTTTTATTCATGTCTATTTATTTACGTAGCCCAGCTGACCTCAAGCTCATGATGCTCCTACCTCTGCCTCTGAAATGCTGGGTTGTAGGTGCATATCACCAGCCTGGGCTTACATTTTAAATTATTATTCTGTGCCTCCACTTAGTAAAAGAGAGAGTGATTTAAAGATCAATTTAGCTTTTATTCCCAAGAACAACTCCAAAAGAGTACAGTTTGCATGTCTAGGTTTTTACCTTACAGAAATACTCAGTTTGCTGTTGGATTTTATGAAACTATGATGCAGAGAATTGCATTAAATGTGACAAAGTTCTAAACATGGACAGTTCATGCTCTTGAGCTCAAGTTGTACATTTGGGAATTTGTTTTGCCACATTTTCATTAGTGAACAAATCCATGTTATTATACCTACTTAAGTATCTTCATACTTCACCATCACCACTTTCTCACTTTACCTAAAAATGACACAGAATGAGTCACAGTAACTCTGAGGAAAATTTGTTTTTCCGAAGTGAGAAGTAGCGATGATCATATATTTTTCATTTTCTGCTTTTAAGAGGGGTATTGTAAGGATATGAGTGTGAGTTTTTCAAAAGGACTATACTTACTAAGCTACACTAGATTAACAACTTCAAGTTTCTAAAATTAGAGGGTTTATTTTTACTAATATTGACAATTGATTATTCCTTTACTAAGAATAATATTAACATATTCAAAAATCACTTTTCAAAATTCAAGAAGAAATCTAAAAATATGGAACAACTATCTATAATAATCCTGAATATACACAGGATGACCCATTGCAACAATGATACCCACAAGATAGTATATTAGAAATGAACTTTACAACTTCAGGGTGGGGAGGAGTGAAGGAGGTGGGGGAGGGAAGGGATAGAGGGAGATCAACAAAGGAGGGAATAACAATGCTCGACAGGAAATGGACCCATTACCTTACTTATGTAACTGTAACCTCTCTGTACAGCTTTACAATAAAATAAAATTAAAAAATAATCCTGAATATGATTATAGTTCTCCGATTACAGAAACTCAGGTTCTATACTTTTAAGGGTTTTCTAGGTACTCAATTGAGGAAATGAGCTGAAGGGTAGACTATTTCTTGGGAACATTCCTGGGCCATATATGTTAATGCTCAAACAATAAGATTCTGGTCTATCTTCTTTAACATATGCCTTACTATCTACCTTGATAAGCTTATAGGATCAAGTCAAGGACGGCAGGGGAAGTAAAAATAATTTAGGAGTTAGTCATAGTCTCTGTTGGACTTGGGGCAAATCATCTAAGCTAAGGGCTTAAGGTGCCTTCTAGCTTTAACTGCCTTTGCATCTAAGTTTGAAGGCTCAACCATCTGAAATTCTAGGTAACAAAGATATAGTACAATAAAATACTGGCCCCAATTCATCCCTTCCTATATCCTCACTTTTGTCATGACTTCAGTGTGGGCAGAACATATCTCCTTGCTGCTTGATTTTGGGCTTGCCATATGGGTTTTTGACTAATGGCCCAAATACATTTATGCATTTCATCAACTCTGTCATCATTATGATGTGGCTGTAACTGAGACACAAGCATCTGATATAGACTATATAGAGGAAACACAGCTGCCCTAGCAACCTTTACAGACAAAGCAAAAAGATCATCATTTTAAGACACTGACGTTTGTGGTTGTTTGTTATTCAGCATTACTATGGAAATAGCTAACCACCACAAAAGCAGATAACAAGAACTCGTGGAAAGAGATAATGAAAGGGAATGAGAAAATAGTGTTCCCAACTCTCTCCTATAACAGGGTAGAAGAGAGCCCAAAGTGAAAGTGTAGGTACATTACCTTCCTTTTTACATTTGACTCATAGATGAACAAAATGCATTGATTGACCATTATTTCTCAATTTCTTCTAGTTAATGGCTTAGAACTTTTTTTTTCAAACAAATAATGTAAGTCATCATAAGACCAATTAAATCCTGGTTTACATCTATTTTTCTGGGGAAATCATTTAGCTTTCTTCATTCTACAATGAGTTAGATGATACATTCTATAGTCACATCGCCTGGCTAGTATACAAAGTTGTCAGCATAGCAGGATCATCTCTTATCCAGCAATCATCCTTATCATCCCTTCTTCGGATCACAGGGATAATTAGGGTGAATGAAGAAGGGCATCGAGCTATTTGGCCATCCCCAATTCTTATCAAACTATTTATGGAAAAATAACTCACAATTAGAGAAAGATTGGGGATTCCCAATCTCATTCACAATTTCAAATAACCTTGTGCTGTTTCTATTATAGTTATAAAGGCTGTGAAGCATTAAACAATTAGCTTGTTGAAAGGACAGGGTGGGACATTTTCTATTGCCCAATCAGAAAGACCCATAGGCATATAGAAGCATATGAGTTTTAGGCACTCAGCAAGATACTAAATGTTCATAACATTCACATCTCTCCCCTCATGTCCTAACACCCTAGGTAGGAAATGACAGGGCAGCAGAAACTACTGCCCCATCTTGCTATCAAAAGGAAACTGTAACCACAGGCTTCATAGGCTTCATTCTTAGAGAACTGTTTCCTTCAGGGCCTGCACTTCCCCATGCTGGAACGGAGCATGAGTACCCCCTCTACGGGCATCCCAGGGTTGGCAGCCATCTTCTGCCAAAGGCGTTGCTCTTCCCCTTGAGAGTCCATCCAGTCCACATTCTTCCCATGGCTCACACCTGAAGAACAGAAAGAGGAGCATTATATTTCACAGCTAAGATGTTCTGATCTCCTGGAAGGCGTCTATTGATCACTAAAGTGTCGTGGGGGGGGGGCAGGTGTGAAGATTTTAACCAGAAAGCCTTTCACTGGTCTGTTCTCACTTCCCATATCTTGTAAATAGTGTTAGAATGAGTCATTCTTTTATAGTCTGCACAACTTTCTTCTGCCTAGACAATGTAACACAAATCAGAATAGCTCTGCTCTGTCATTTCCTCTCTACTATGGTGCTTCAGCTGAGAGCTGGTTCATGTAGACTGGTATTGGGCTATTTGATAGGCTGGCCTCAGCTCTTTCTCACAGTCAATTCTCTGACCTGGGAAGTTTTGGTTTTAGTGACACAGACATGCTTAGCTTTTGTTAATTTCTATAAATAAAGCATTATAGGGTGGGCATCTGAGAGATAATAAGATTTGAGTGAATCACATGTGCTCTCCCAGTGCTAATTTGTTCATCTATATTACCCTTTCTCTGTCCATTTCTTTTTTCTTTTTGGTTGCTCGTGGGGCTTGAACTCTGGGCTTGGGTGCTGTCCCTGTGTTCTTCAGCTCAAGGCGAGTGCTCTACCGCTTGAGCCACAGTGCCACTTCCAGTTTTCTAGTGGTTTATTGGAGAGAAGAGTCTCACGGACTTTCCTGTGTGGGCTGGCTTTGAACTGAGATCCTCAGATCTCAGCCTCCTGAATAGCTAGGATTATAGGTGTGAGCCACCAGTGCCCGGCTCCCTCTGTCCATTTCATCTTGCATTAGTTGTGCATTGTGGCAGCAGTGGTATATTTCTAACCTGACTGAACAATGGATGAAGACTTTTTGTTTTTAGAGAAAATATTGATTTCCTTCCCATTCAACTAGTGTGAATGAAAACTGTACATATTGGACATTATTAAGACAAGGATAAAGTTGGCCTCAGAAGATCTTCCTTTCCCTCTCAGAAGCCTGTTGCTGTCTTGGTGGTCCTTCTCTGAGAAAAATGAAGGACCAAGAAAGTGCTTATAATTCACTGAAAGTATAAAAGTTTTTCTATGAAAGAACTGAATGCAATGTACCTCCCAAACTTCTAGCTTCAAAATACAAAGTCATAGTTGGTAGTATTAGTATGTATGTATGTATGTATGTGTGTGTGTGTGTGTGTGTGTGTTTGGGTCCGGTCATGGGGCCTGAACTCTGGGCCTGGGCGCTGTCCCTCAGCTCTTCAGCTCAAGGCCAGCGCTCTACCACTTGAGCCACAGCACCACTCCCAGCTTTTTTCTGTTTGCTTATGTGGTGCTGAGGAATTGAACCCATGGCCTCATGCATGCAAGGCAAGCGCTCTACCACTGAGCCACCTTCCCAACCCCTTAGTATGTATATTTAACAAAGAGCAGATTTTTTTTGGCTGTTCCTGGGGCTTGAATTCAGGGCTTAGGTGCTGCCCCTATGATGAGCAGATATTTTTTTTTGGCTGTTCCTGGGGCTTGAATTCAGGGCTTAGGTGCTGCCCCTGAGCCTTTTTGCACTGAAGGTTGGCACTCTAACACTTGAGTCACAGCACCTCTTCTGGGTTTTTCAGAGTAGTTTATTAGAGATAAGAGTCTCACAGACTTTTCTGTCTGGGCTGGCTTTGAACTGTGATTCTTAGATCTCAGCCTCCTGAGTAGCTAGGATTATAGTAGTGAGCCACTGGTGTCCAGCTAATGAACAGATTTTTAGCTAGAGGATCATTTCAGGAGTCAGTTATGACTGACTACATAACTATGTAACTACATAAATATCTAGTACACAATACATGAAGGAAGCATGCCTGATTATAGACCTCAAGTCTCCAAGTTTCTTACCACTTCCAGAATTCAGACGAACTCCTCCAAGAAAGATGTTGCTAGAAAAGGCTTCCTTGTCCCAGACAGTAAGTTCTAGGCAAACATTCTTTATATCCTGAGGATACAGGCCACTGAACATGAATGTATAGTTCCATTGAGGGTTAACACTCTTTTTTATGACCATAGTTTTATGCTTGGTGGCTTTGTTATCATCAGGGAGCAGGTAACTGTAGGAGAAAATGCAATCAAATCATCATTGAGACAGTAGGCAAAAATGCCATCTTGGAATAGTCATGTGAATTTCCCATACTTTCTGATGTGTGTGTCTGTGTACATGAATGTGTCCAAGTGTGATATGGGTATTTCGTTCACCTATCATTACTATTTAGCAGTTTTCATGATGACATATTCATACATACATATAGTGTGCTTTGAGCATATTTATTCATCTCCCAGGTTCTTTTTCAAAACTTTTTTTGGAGACTGTCCTGTGGCTTGAACTCAGGGCCTGGGCACTGTCCCAGGACAGAGTGCTCAAGGATAGCACTCAACAACTTTGAGCCACAGTGCCATTTCCAGCTTTTGGTAGCTAAGGGAGATAAGTCTCTCACAGGCTTTCCTGCCCAGACTGGCTTTGAACCACGATCCTCATATCTCAACCTCCTGAGTAGTTAGGATTATAGGAATGAGACACCAATGCTGGCAAATCTCCCAGATTCTTATATGCTTAAATTTGGATTTATTTTGTGGAATGGCTTCTTTTAGGTGGCGCAATAGTAACATGCATTCTCTCTCCTTTCTAATTTTATTTCAGTCCATCTTCCCCAGTCTTGTAAAGAAAATGCCTTCTGTGGTAGTAGGTAGTAGGTATTATTGGATGTTCTAGTTTGTATTTTTATGGACCAATTCTGAACTGACTGGCAGCCAGAGTGAATAGTTTCCAGCAGGCTTTCCACTGTGTCTTGACTCCTTCAATAAAAGACTATTTCTGGTTATGAGTAAGTTAATGTGGGGAGAATCCTGGAATTACTGGGGATTTAATGGATTGAAGGGCAACTCTTCAAGCAATGAGTTTTGGAAATTGGTGGATGAATCCTTCACCCAAGGGACAATCCTAAGAAATACTGCACAGTATCTCATTGCTTCCCCAGTAGAATTGAGTGCCAGCCTTCTATCACAGTAACATATTGATAAACATATATGTTTTTGCCAGTGCTGGGTCCTGAACTCAGGCCCTGGTTGCTGTCCATATGGGTTTTCTTTCCCTCTCTTTTTTTTATTGTGAAAATACTGTACAGAGGGGTTACAATTACATGGGCAAGATAATGAGTACATTTCTTATCAAGCATTGTAGCCTCCTCCTTTGTTTCCCCTTCCCATCCCATCTTCCCCCATCCCCCCCCAACCCTCTCCCCCCCCACCAAAGTTGTAAAGTTCATTTTCGACATAACGACGTGTACATCTCATTGTTGCAATGGGTCCTGAGGTTTTTTTTGCTCAAGGTTAGCTCTCTATCATTTGAGCTATAGGTCTACTTGCAGCTTTTTTGGTGGTTAATTGGAGATAAGGGTCTTGTGGACTTTCCTACCCAGGCTGGCTTCAAATCATGATTTTCAGATCTCATCCTCCTGAGTAGCTAGGATTACAGGCATGAGCCACCAATACCTAGGATAGCCATACCTTACACCAGCTTCTCTCCCTCTTCTCAAACAAAACATTGGAACCACAGACCTGTACTGTTGTCAAAACACTGTATTGGGCTCAAAGTATATCATGAATGCTACCTTGTACCTGACCAGGGAACATGTTTTAGAGAAGTTGACAGATTTGCTTATGGAATCATTATATTAGATAGTAATACCAATGCCACAAGCAAACGATCTTACTATAAAGAAGCTAATTAGATTGAGTGAGATTTCATTCCAGGTTTCAAGTAGAGAATGCATGCTATTTCCCAATATTCCTTCTATCTGTTCCTTTTTTTAAAAACAACAACAACAACAAGGATCCCCATTTTAAAATTAGGCACAACATAAAAAAATGCAAATCAAAACAACAATGAGATTCTACCTCACCCCAGTTAGAATGGCCATTATCAAAAAAAGTAATGATAACAGATGCTGGCAGAGATGTGGCCAAAAGAGAATGCTACTGCACTGTTGGGAATGTAGACTTGCTCAGTCACTTTGGAAAGCAGTATGTAGGTTCCTCAAAAGACTACACATAGAGCTTTCCTATGACCCAGCAATCCCACTCCTGGGCGTTTATCCAAATGACCACAAACAAGACCATACTAAAGCCAACAGCACAACCACACGACTATGTCCATTGCAGCATTATTTACCATACATAGCTAAAATATGGAATCAGCCCATAAGCCCCTCAGTGGATGAATGAATCAAGAAAATATGGTAAGTACACAAATGGAATTCTATACTTCCATCAGAAAGAATGATGTTGCCCATTCATAAGGAAATGGAAAGGGTTGGAAAAAATTATATTAAGCGAAGCAAAGTGAGACCCAGAGAAACATAGGATGCATGATTTCTCTCATTTGTAATAACTAGAATATGTCTATAAATCTACAAGTTAATCCAATGGATAGTAAAAGACAAATAATCACACTTGGACATGATTAGGAAATAGCACTCTAAGCATTCACACAGTGAGAACAAAGGAGGCTATACATAGTAAGAACAAAGAATTATTCTTAGGAGATGATCACAATAGCTCAATAGCTATGTACATATGACCATATAAAATAATGCTTATAGAAATGAACTCCAAGAAATGGAAACAAGAGGTTTTTTTATTGCATTGTTAGCTGTTATTTCTTTTTTCTTTCTTTTCCACCTTTGGTATATTCCCTTTTGTCACTGTTTTTGATTTCTGTACCCTTTGTCTTATATATAAGTTTATCTGATTTGTGGAGAGGAAGGGGAATCACAGAAATAGTGGGAAAAAGGGTGAGCCAATTCAACAGTAATACTCACTAAATACTATGTTAGAAATGAACTTTACAACTTGGGGGGAAGGGGGGTCAGGAGGGGAAAAGTGGGAGAAGATGAGGGAGGGGGCAACACTGTTCAAAAAATTACTCATTAACTGAATTGTATATCTTTATCCCTTCTGTACACCACCTTTACAATAAAATTAAAATAAAAAGTATAACTAGACACAAGATTTCTTAGAATGTAGACTGTATTCCTGCACCCAGCATCCTTTGTGTCCAGTGTAGCCATATGACTAAATTCTGGCAAATGGGATGTAAGAAGTAGCTCTATGAAACTTATGGGAACTAACCTACCAGATGGAATAGGGATGGGAAAGCTAAAATCTAAGAGCTACTATGACCCATGAAGCAAATATCATGAGACAGAGAGAGAGAGAGAGAGAGAGAGAGAGAGAGAGAGAGAGAGAGAGAGAGAGAGAGTAACCAACAAACAATCTATGCCTCTGATAATCATGATACTTCTATACCCTTCTTGGATACATTACCTTCAGTCCTTATTTACATGTAAGAGGGGAAAATAAAAGGTACAACTCATTTTCCTCTCATCCTTGTTTTCTCTCCCTCTCCTTACTTCCTTACAACCCTCCCTCATGTGTTTCTCTCTCTCTCTCTCTCTCTCTCGCCACTGCTGGGCCTTGGACTCTGGGCCTTGGCACTGTCCCTAAGCAACTTTTGCTCAAAGCTAACACTTTACCAATTGATCTACCACGCCACTTCCCCTGCCTCAGTTTTCTAAGAAGGCTTAAGGAGAGGCAAAAACTGTTGTCTGACTTAAAGAATTCTCCTGTGGGCTTCACATCCTCCATGAAGTCAGCTATAATGGCTCATTTACTTTGGAAAAGTGCAGTACTTTGGTGGTTCATACATGTGCAATTGTGTGTTTGAATGAATGGATACTATCCTTCTAGTCCCAGTTCGCCTAAGTTCAGGAGAATAATATCCAGTAGCACAAGAGAGATTTGCTGGTGAGTAATTTAGAGTGAATAACAATATCCATTAAAGAGTACTATTCCCTCAAGAAACTGCTCTCTGCTCCACAAAGTGGAAACAAATGTGCAATTGGCAGTCTAAAGCTCTCTCCAAAGCACTTCCTAGTGGATACCTCCAGGAATAATGCTCTGATGACCACATTTTTTACAATTTTCCCCAAGAGAGCAAAACAGCAAGTATGAGTATTTCAGTAGTTGTTGAATATTACCAGCACCAAACAATTACAAAATATAATCAAAGTACACTAAACATACAAATTCTTACTTTCTCTTTTGAGAAATGAATCTTAGAAAATTTGTTGGTCTTAAGGGTGAGAATGATAGGAATTCCTCAGATCTGCTGGAAACCATGTAAGCTAAGAATAAGCAATTCCCTCTACACTCATATTGCTTTACATGTATGAGATAAATTGTTTCAGACGTAAACATAGCTCTTCCCCAGTATATTTCCTACAAGAAGAACATGGAGGCTCACAGTGATCACTGTCTCACGATCGCAGACTTTTTCATCTACCAATAAGTATCATCTGAAATGAGGATGAAACAAAATTACCCCTTCACAAAGCTGTCAGAAGTGCCTCCTGATTTCACTGCTGTTAAGTTCTTTGCTTCTTTGACGAACACTTCAAGTATTCCTCCAGAGATTACAGGTGACTCTTTCTTCTTCCCCTTTTTAAAGGATTTCTTTCCTGTATCAGCTGAGGAGGGGGGTGGGAGGGGGGGAGGAGAGAAAGAGAGATAGAGGAAAAGAGAAATTCTACTTCAAAATTTAAAAAGACCATCTGCAAAGATTTATTTATTGACTGAATCAGGCCTTTACCTAATTGAATATTTGTGTTAGAGTAAATGTTTTTGTCCCATTGGATTCTTTCTGGATAGCTTTTCTTATTTATATTTGTTGAAAAACATTGAATAAATTCAAAACTTCAACCACTCCTGTACAGAGCACAGCTTTTTAACAAGGTGTTATAAAGGAAAGGAATGGAGAAGATCCTGAGAGCTGCCTGGGCCACTGTGAGTTCAGGCCCCATGACCAACCAAAAAAATATATTTTTAGGTGAGAAGAAATTCCTTCCTACCTTTCATTGTTATTTATTTAGTACCGTTTGAAGCATCTTACGTGTACGTGCCCGTTTAATCCTAACAATGTCCCATCTTATATGTACGTGCCTGTTTAATCTTAACAATGTCCCTTTGTGAGAAAGTGAGAAGTGAGAAAACGGGGTCAGGAAACAGAATTACTTGTCATGGTGATCATGACACTGAAGAGGGTAATTATGAATGGGAGGAGACTGCCGGAGGAGTTGATGGAAGAAGGGCAGGAGAATTTGCTTTCATCTGAATTTTTCTTTTTCTTCCGTGTTCTACGATAGATCTTCCTCAAGACTATGAATGACAGAGATCCAGACAAGCAGCCTCCCAACTCTAAGGAGTGTTCTTTTTTTTGGGGGGGTCCAGTCGTGGGGCCTGAACTCTGGCCTGGGTGCTATCCCTCAGCTCTTCAGCTCAAGGCTAGCACTCTACCACTTGAGCCACAGTGCACTTCCGGCTTTTTTTTCGGCTTATGTGGTGCTGAGCAATCGAACTCAGGGTCTCAGGCATGCAAGGCAAGCGCTCTACCACTGAGCCACCTTCCCAGCCCGAGGAGTGTTCTATATTTCTTAGACGGACAGGAAATGACTCTTACTACCTATGCTGGTCACTCAGTGTGAGCTTTGTCTTTTCCTTGTAAGATTTCCACACCCTTTGCCATAGGTACTTTGCTTATCACAACTCTCTTTAAAAGACAATGACAATCTTTTTCATTTCATTCATGCAGTGTGAAATTAGCATCGTCCAACAAATCTCTGGTTCCCAGTTGCACTTGTAAAAATAGGATGATCAAATGTAGTGATTTTTCTGTACCTTGAAGTTGTCTTAGTGGAAACATCATGTTCTCCTCTGGAGGAATGTACCGTAAAACAACTGTCAGTTCTCCTTTGTACTGAAGGCCAACATCAGGAGCAAACTCTCCCTGGCCAAGGATAGATAAATTTAAAAGAGAATAAGAACATTTGTCTTAGTATTTTGCTACCTATGCTTCAATATAAAATATTTATTTGATGGCTTAAATGTGATAATTCCTACTTAACTATGTTAGTTCTTACTGAAAGAAGACATGACTTAAGCATGAGAAAAGAAAGGCTGTAAAACCCTGTCACGACATTAACATATGACTTTTTTGTGTGCCACTCCTGGGGCTTGAATGCTGTCCCTGAGATATTGTGCTCAAGACTAGGTTCTAACATTTGAGTCATACCCCCACTACTGGCTTTTTTGGTACTTAATTGGAAATAAGAGTCTCATGGACTTTGTGCTTGGGCTGGCTTCGAATTGTAATCCTTGGATCTTAGCCTCCTGAGTAGCTAGGATTACAGGCACAAGCCACTGGCACCAGGCTTGTATAAGACTTTTAAAATAAAAGGCATTTAAAAGGAGATACATAACATATATCAATGGATATTGAGTTTTTGTGACATTGAATACTGACCTATCACTGAACATTATACATATAGTATGGAGTATGGGGCAGGAATAAAGATGCACTGAAAATAGTCTCAGAAGTTACATCTCCCTCTCTATAATGTAATTTCTTAAGCAATCAAGAAGGGAAAAGTACTAGGTTGCTAGTCACTGGTTTTTGAAAGCAATATTGGTATTTACATAATCAAAATTCATTGTGGACAAGTGGTTCTCTTAAACATTGCAGGTAGGAATGTAAAATGGTGGAGACAATCTGGAAAGCAGTTTAGTATGAATGATTAAATATGCAACTACTATACGAACCAGAATTTTCACCCCTCGGCATTCATTGAAAGTATTTTCACCACAAAAAGGTATATGAAGTGATATATATACTAATTATCTCAATTTAGCTATTTTACAGTGTATACATCTTTCAAAACAACATCTACTACATGGAAAATACATATAAGCTTTTTTATTTCGTCGGTTGTGGGGCTTGAACTCTGGGTCTGGGCACTGTCCCTCAGCTCTTCATCTCAAGGTGAGAGCTCTACCACTTGAGCCACAGTGCCACTTCCAGTTTTCTGGTGGCTAATTGGAGTTAAGAGTCTCATGGGCTTTCCTGTCTGGGCTGGCTTTGAATTGAGATCCTCAGGTGTCAGCCTCCTGAGTAGCTAGGATTACAGGCATGAGCCACCAATGCCCAGCTATACATAAGCTTTATTTGCCAATTAAAAATTAATTAGTATTAAGCAATTAAAATATTAAAAAATGAGCTGAGGATCAGTAACATGAACTTATAACCCTACCTGCTTAGGAAACTGAGATGAGAATAGAGGTTCACAATTAGCCCTTGATGAAAACTCTTTGAAACTCTTATCTCCAATTAACCAGCAAAAGCTGGAAGTGGAGACATGGCTCAAGTGGTAGAGTGATACCTGCTATAGAAGAAACTGGAGAGCTTGAAGCGTGGAGGAGTTCAAGCCCCAGTAGTGGCAAAAAAATGTATTAGAGTGTGTTTGCATGTAGATGATATGTCTGATTTTATTGACTTATGATTGGTCCAGTTTGCATCTATTCCAAACACACACACACAGACACACACACACACACACACACATACACACACACATCAGTGTTACACAAGGTGACAGTTGATCTAACACAACTACAAAGAAGCTACTGTGAAAAGACAGAGATTATTCCCAACTGGAATAAGGATGTGGCCCTTGCCTGGTCCTTAAAAAATGGGCGAAAGGATGACAGATGAAGTTGGTATGACAGATGAAGTGGTATGACAGAAAGATTAGTTTGGGTTGAGAAAGCAATAAGAGCAAAATAAGAGAGAGACTACCTAGAATGTGTTTAGGGACTGGTAGGAAGCCAGATGTAATTAGGAGTGTGTGGCCCTGGAGGCAGTAGCTAGTAACATGGAAATAAAATATCTCTTCTGGGTTTCCCAGGAGACTCTAAAACATGAATTCATGTTAAAACATTTCACAAGAGACAATGGAAAAGTGAGACTGAATAGAATTGATATTGTCAAATAGGGACAACTTTTGCTTAGCCCCATGGAGAGCCCTGATTATATGTCACAACTGTCCTAAGTAGAAGCAGAGAGGTGGAAATGGTATGCTTCTTCACCTATCAGTCATTGATCAAGGGCTCTGTGCTCACCCCTCTACCCGAAGACTTATATTCCTAGATTTATATTTCTGGATTTCCACAGGCCACGGAAGTGTAAAGTCCAGAAAAGGGCTCCCCTTTCCTACAAAGACTGGGAGTTACTGGCTGGTGGGCGCAGAGCCACATTTTTCTGAGCAGAACACAACATCCTGGGGTGCAATCGAAGGCTGGACCCCCACCACGAAAGTGTTGTGAGTGCCAGAGTGGGCACGAGTTTCCATCAAAACATCTTTCAAAGCAGCAGGAAACTGTTAAGATAATCTGATGAGGCTGGAGCTGCAGCTCAAATAGTAGAGTGCCTGTTCAGCAGGTGCGAGGCCTTGAGTTTAAATCCCAGTACTGCAGAAAAAAGGGACCTAAGCAGAGGGGTGAAATAATCAGTATTTTCTGTTGTCTGCAAAGAGAGATCTAGTTGTCATTGGAACAAAAGCCAGTCACTTCCCAATGCATTTACAAGTGTAAGATAGGATAATAAATCATAGACAACGATGCCAAAGCTGCCAAGTAAAGAGAGGAATTTAGGTAGGTAATAATTCCACAGGAACTTACATTTACTCTCTGCTTGAAGGCAGAATAAGACACTGTTTCCTTGGAAAACCACTTAAGCTTGCTGTTAGATTTTCAGAGGTCCTTGGTTGTTTTTTTTTAAATAATAGCACCCCCTGGGAAGGCTTGAAAGGCAATTCATACTAACAAACACTTCTCATCTACCTCCCATGCCTTTCATAAAGGATGATGAGTTATAGCTAATAAACAGTCCAGTGCCAGGCAGTGAAATACAAGTTATACTGTGAAAGTACTTTACAGTACTCAAATTTGACATCTTGAATTCTTTCTCTGTCTGCACCTGCTTCCTTACTGGCTTCTGCTGTGATATCTAACACAAACAAAACTAGATACTATAGGATTTTTGAGTAAGTCAATAGCAGTATGGCTTATACCTCCTGCAAACAGATGCCAGCATTTCTGAATTTTAAGGACTATTAATCCAAATCCCTTATTACTAGAGAAACCAGTCCCTGTAGTTCACACTTCATCTCTTCAGCTGGATAATGTACCAGCAACATCAAATTTCCTGGACTGCCTATACTCTATCAGCAGCTGATGGAGTGCCTATTGCACTGAAATGACTGAGACAGGAGACTGAAAATGAAGCAACACTCCACATAGCTGGCTGACAACCAACCATCAAGAGCTCAGCTGCTATGATTTGGATCTGGAATACTTCCCAAAAACTCATGTATTAAAGCCTTGCTCCCCAGCCGGTGGAGCTATTGAAAAACAGTAAAAACTTTTAAGAGATGAAGCCTAGTGGGAGGAAGTTAGGTCTTTAGGTGTGCACCGCTGGACATGATATTGAGATGCTGGCCCTTTGTGTCTCTTCTTTTTGCTTCCTGAACACTGTGTGGTTGAAAGGTTTCTTTTATTTTGTGATCCTGACATGATATACTGCCTCTTCATAGATCCAAAAGCAATAGGGTCAATGGACCACAGACTAAATCCTTTGAAACCGTGAGCCCAAACAAACCTTTGTCTTTTAAGTTCATAATCTCAGATACTTTTGTCATTGTGACAGAAAGCAGATTATGGCAGCAGCTCAGCAAAGCATGCCTTAGCATCAGCCCTCTCAAGTTCTGAAGGGCATGATATCTAAGCAAGTCTGAGTCTTCTTTTACTCCATATTTGTTACAGCAAGCTTCACAGAGGATGGTGACAAAGATGAGAGACATTAACGTCTGTTTCACAGTCTGCATTCACCAGACTCTTGGAGAGGATTCCTAAGGAAATTATTTGTTAGGAAAGCGCTTTCAGGGAGACAACTGAAAAGGGTGAGAGAAGAAAGATAGGGAAGAGCATGACCTTGGATAAGTTTCCATAGGAGGCAGCTTCAGTCTGATCTGGCTCTGAGGATAAATAACACCTTAATTTTTTTCTCTTTCTCAATAAAAGAGGCCAGCTTGTGTAATCCTCTGTTATTGACTAAGGATTGTCTTGTGACTCTTGGGGTACAAAGACTTCCAGGGCTTTATGGCTGTATGTCCACGTGGGCAAGTAGCTTGAGGTAGGCTTCTAAAGAGAATCTTAATTGAAGCTGTTGAGGAAAACTCGGAAGGGTGAGGAATCTAAAATGCTCAGGCAGAGAACTGTGGTGTTTCATACAGTAAGCACAAGACAACTTTTGTCGTTAGCAGATTCATAGAGGCCCAGAGCTACTTCTTCCTCTGTGGCAATGTGGAGAGAATTATCATGGGAAAAAACCCTACTGGTCCCTAAGCACAAAGGATGCTTTGGACAGACTTTAGATAGCATCCCAGAGAAGTCTTTCAATCATTTACAGAAAACTGACAGGAAGTATGATTTTCCTTCCGAACTGATTGTTCAAAGAGTCTGTTTCTTTAACATTAACTTCATGACAAATTAATTTTATATACTACTAAGATGCATGCTAATTGTCTTTCATGTGTGTCATCCGTCATCTGATGTCTGGGGATTTTTCTAGCAATGATGCTCATTTTTAATTTATTATTTTTTTCATTTTTAAAATTTTATTGTAAAGGTAATGAACAGAGGGGGTACAGTTACATAAATAAAGAAATGCGTACAATTCTTGTGGAACATTGATTTGCCCCTCAGTGTAGATGAATAGATCAAGAAAATATGGTATATATACACAATGGAATTCTATGCTTTCATCAGAAAGAATGACATTGCCCCATTCGTAAGGAAATGGAAAGACTTAGAAAAAAATCATATTAAGTGAAGTAAGCCAGGCCCAAAGAAACATAAGCTCCATGGTTTCCCTTATTTTTAATAATTAGTATATGTCTAAGATAATCCTAGCAGAGGATCAAAATAGTCTAATAACTATGTACCACATAAAGTGATGCTAATCTAAAGGAACTCCAAGATATGGAAAAAAGAGGTGTTTTATTTCAGAGTACTGTTTACAGTTATTTCTTTTTCTTTCATTTTTTCTTTAGTTTATCCCCTGCTGTCACTGTTTTTTATTTTGGTAGCCTTTGTCTAGAATATAAGTTTATCTCATTTGGTGATGGGGAGGGGAATCACAAAGGACAGAGGGTGAATCAATGCACTAGTTATACAAGGCACTATGTTGGAAATGAACTTTACAACCTGGGGGGAAGGGGATGCGGGGGTGGGGGAGGGAAAGTGGGAAATGATGCTCATTTTTAAAATGCAAAGCATGAAACTGATACGAAACGACTACTTTGCTAATCACCTAACTGTTATCTTCTGTTGTTTTTGTTTGGGAGAGTTGAACTCAGAGCCTCAGCCCTCCTTTAGCTTTCTGGCTCAAGGCAGATGATCTGCCATTGAGCCACGCTTTATCTTTTAGGGGGAATTTTTTCTTTCAATTCCAAGAGACTTAATGGTGAATGAAAAAAATATTTAATATATTTGGTGTCAGTGAGTACAATGTTGTGCTATTGTGGACTCCTCTGCTGTTTAAAAATACACTTTACTGGGCCAAGCACTAGTGGCTCACACCTGTAATCCTAGCTACTCAGGAAGCTGCAAACTAAGGACTGTAGTTTGAAGCCAGCAAGAGTACATTTCTCTTTTTTTCAACATGTCAAAAAGAAACTTTATTCCTTATTAACAGCCTCTTAAGCTTTCTTGCTGAGTGCTTTAGGAGTGGCCGACTTTGGGGCTGGAGTTTTTGACCCTTCTGAGCTTTAGGAGGCTCCACCACTTTCTGGCAGGTGGTTTTCTAGGCCGTGGCCTTCTGGCCCAGAGGTTTCTTGGCCTCATGAGCAGTAGCGTCCTTTTTGGCTCAACCTTTACCTTTAGTAGCCACTGCCACCGTTGCCAAAGATGCAGTGGCAGCCTTGGCAACAGGGGTGTTTTTGGGAGAAGCTTTCAAGAGAGTCACTCTCTGACGTTTCTTCACTTCATTCTTGATGAGACTACTCCTTATTTTCTTAGCCTTCATGACTTTGCAGCGATCAAAGGATGTCATCTTGACTTTCCTTCTTCTGGCTCCAATCTTTTTGGTACATCCGGTGGCTGACCTTTTTGTATTGATATCTGCCATCTTCCAGGCTTTGCATTTGAAAGGCATGGCCTGTTCTCCTTACTCCAGTGCATGATCCATCAACCAATGCCCTGTTCTGATCAATAACGTCTACAATTGCCACAAGCTTTCCGGCATTGAGGCCTGAAGGAGACATAGGCCGCCAGGCCAACCTCCATGAAACGCTTGAACACCATGTTGGCAGCACAGGGCAAGAAGTTACATTTCTTTATGAACAATGTTGCCCCTTCTTGTCATTTTAACATATAGCTCATATGTACTTTCTAAAGATTTTCTGTGAGTTACTTACATCAAATCTCATGTCAACAACCACAACCCCACCAGTAAATTATATTTTTAGTTTGCTCATCTATAAAATGGGACGCGAATAATGATTGTTAGTTAACCCACAGGTTTGTTATCGCCCTGAATGAGAACATTTGGTGCTATTGATGATGCCATAGAGAGCATCACTTGTTTTTTTGCTGTTCACTATCCCTTAGTTTTCTCTTTAGTAGTTCAGGACCTGGATTTTTTGAGGAAGTCTAATTTAAAGATAAGATTTTAAACCAGCCAATGCCTCATTTCTCTCTAGCCAGTCATTAGCCAAAGATAGGCAAATAATTAGGAGAACCAGGCTCAAAGCATGACTTTACTGTTGCTGCTACTTCTTTTTTTTTGCTACTTCTTCTCTCCCTCCCTCCCTCTGTTCTTGCCTGCCTTCCTTCCTTCCTTCCTTTCCTCCCTCCCACCCTCCCTCCCTCCTTCCTTCCTTCCTTCCTTCCTTCCTTCCTTCCTTCCTTCCTTCCTTCCTTCTCCTTCCTTCCTATCCTCCTCCTATTTATATTCCTCCTCCTTGTCCCCCTCTTTTTCCTCCTTTCCCTTCTTCTTTCCTCTTGTGCTGGTACTGGGCTTGAACTCAGGACCTGGGAGCTGTGCCTTAGTTTTTTTTTGCTCAAGGCTGGTACTCTATCACTTGAGTAGCAAAGAGAAAGGATGGGCAAATGAAGTCATAATATTCTATGCACATATGTGCAAATAGAACTGGGTAATCTGAGGAGATAGGTGGAATTGGGAGAGATGGAGAAGAATGATGAAAGAGATGATATTCATTGAGCTGTATTGTACTCATAAATTCATATATTGAATCATCATCCCTTTATGAACTAAAGATTTAAAAAATAAAAAAGAAACAAAAACAAACAAAAAAGCATAGCTTTGAATGTTGGATGAGAAACTTTATCCTTTTCTGAACAGTGAGGTACAAAGATGAGAGGCTTGGAGTCAGTGTAGCTGTTAGTGCTATAGAGAACAATGAGAAAACTGAAAATAAAGCCAACAAATAGAAGAGAGCCAAGAGATTCCAAAGCCTTGATAAGATTTGAGAACCTAGATTAAGCTGCTGGCTAACAGCACTGTGCTTGACAGAATATTGACAAGCCTACATAAAAATGTATATTCAACCCTTACATAAGATATATATGATGTGAATATTACAAATGAGCACATCACAGCTAAGAAAATTAAGTTAATCTGATCAATGTCATATAGGCAGTTATAAAGCCAAGACTGAGCCAAGAAAGTTATTAGAGTCTACTGTGTTGATTATAATTTTTTTGGTTCTCTGTACATAAAGAACAGTCTCTTCTGACTGCAAATTTTGACTTCCAAAAAGTACTGTAAATATAAAAGTAAATGTAGCTGTTTAGAGTGAATCAAAGGCATTGTTAGTCTTTGGTTAAATATCACATTACAGTGACATTTAATTTATAAAACAAACTCTAAGCTTGTTTTTCTAACCAAAGCCTGGCCTGGGAATCTCAAAAGCAGGAATGTCAAGACCAGATACTTTGGCTACAGGTCACTTCCTCAAGTGACCCTACTCCTCCTGTTTATGGTTCAAATTGTAGAGAATAAGAAACAGAGATAATATTTTGAGGTTGGTTATAGGTTTGTTTTAGTTATATGAAAAGGAAGACTTTTTATTGGTTTTCTTGATGGTACTGGGATTGAACAGAAATGCTGTACAATTTGAATCATACTCCTAGTCCTTTTACTTTTAGTGTTTTTCAAATAAGATCCTGAACTTTCACATAAGCCATTCTCAGTCCTTGATCCTCCTACCTCTGCCTCTGAGTAGTTAGAATTACAGGCATATGCCATCATGTTTGGATTGTTTCTGAGACAGAGTTTCACTAACTTTTGCCCTGATTGTCTTCAAATACTGATTCTCCTATTTCCACCTCCCAAGTATATGCGATTATAGATATGTACTATCATAGCTGGTTAAGAGTTTCTTATTTAAATAGGGTCTATATAATGTTTCTTTTTGGTTATCTTTGGGGACCTTCACATAGGAAATATATTACATAATAAAATTAATAAAATGTGTGATTATATAGCTTGTGCTCTACAGTCTTTATTGATAAGAGCTTTCCTAAATCATGAATTCATAATATTCATAAAGTATTACTCCAAATGTTGCTCTACTAATCTTTGTAGATTGTCACTTTAACTTTATAAGCTTTCAGATTCTTCACGCTTATCACATCAATTTTGCTCAAACTTACCTAATTGCATAAACAACTATGGGAGTATCTCCTACCTTGGGTTGAAGCACAAACCATTCATCGCTTGGATTTTCGAAGTTCCATGAATCAAAAGGAATCTCCACCTCTCCGAGGAAGCAATTACGTCCAAAACGATCATAGTGCCAGACTGAGAGCTGCAGAGTTCTTGTTTCCAGCTGGGTGTGGCTGATGGTATACTGAAAATAAAGTTTACAAAATTACATACCACAAAGAAGGCTCTCTCCAAATCCAGGCACTTAGAGATTATCTATATCAGTAAGAACAAAACGAACTCAAAGAAAAGATTTTCCTTATTTCTGCTATAATAGAAGTTCTGTTTCATAAAGTAATTCTATATCAGACTTAGTGATGGAAGATGTATAAATAAATTATTTGAGAGTGAGGGCAATAAACTCCAGATAGAATATAAAAGATGATGAAATTTCTCTTCTTTCCATTTTACTTCATTTGCCTACATTTTTCATACCTACTTTTTAGTTCAAGACTTAATATAATAAATATCTAACTTCTCTGTCATCTCTTGTTCTTCTAATTCATCTCTTGCTCATCTTCCTCCTCTTTCTGTTGTTCCTTCTACTATACAAACAGTATCTGGCTATACTTCAGACTGATACCTTTTTCTTTCTTTTTGCTATGACCAGGGGCTTAAACTCGGGGTATTGCACTCACTCACCCTTCCTTGCTTATGACTGGCATTCTACTACTTTTTGAGCCATGCCTTTAGCCAGATTCTTGCTAATTATTTTCGAGATTAGTCTCTGGAACTTTGCTGCCTGAGCTTGCATCAAATCATGACCTCTGCTGTCAGCCTCCTAAGTATCTAAAATTACAAATGTGAGCTGCAAGCTTTAGATCAGATGAACTGATTTCTGATCTCGGATTTATTTGTGTCTATTCCTGTCCTTTCTATCACTATTGTGATTAACTCTGGCTCTCTGCTCCCTAGATTTATTCCACCCTTGGCTTTATCTGTTCTGCTTGGGCTCATCTTTGTTAATCTGTTATAATCACTGCCTTCATCCTCTGACTGTATTTATTTATCTTAATATTAGCTCCAGTTTGCTTCCACTTATGCATGTAGACTTGTGCCTTTTTGCCATCATCAACCTCCCCTCTATGGTGACTTTGAATCCATAATTTTAGGCATAAACCTATACATTTTCCTTTGATTGGAATATATTCCATTCTCCCTAGATCTTTCTTATCAGGGAAGATTTGTTCATGGTAAGGAAAGGGATTGTTGCATGAAAGGAAGACCATTAGAAATATAAAATTTTGCCAGGCACTGACTCACACCTATAACCCTACCTACTCAGGAGGCTAAGATCTAAGGATCACAGTTTGAAGCCAGCCTGAGCAGGAAAAATCTGTGAGAATTTTATCTCCAATTAATCACACAAAAAGCTGGAAGTGGTGCTATGGTTCAAGTGGTAGAGTGTCCTTGAGCAAAAGTAGTTCAAGTACAGTGCCTAGGCCCAGAGTTCAAGTCCCAGGACTGGCAAACAAAAGACATAAAATTTAGGACTGAGGTCTGGGTTGTATTTTATGTAGAATATTTTCACTGCAATTTATTAGATCTGATCCTGCATCTCCACTGTTCATTAACTGCACCCTTAAATTTATCCAAAATCTGAAAACCTAATACGAAGCCTGACAGACCCATGCTGTACTAGTAAAGCAATAGATGTGTACAATGTGACCTACAATGTTAAAGTAAAAGTTGTGGGAAGCTTAATTTAAGGGGTTGTTGGAGAAAGCAATGTCCCTAAAAGGTGAAATATGCTGGAACAAGATGTACTAGCTCAGATGCAATTTTGCTGAATCATTTCTACTTAAGGGGCAATGTGAGAAGCAGCAGAAAAGTAAGTGTAGCTTCCATTTTTAAAAAGAAATCTTTTCCAAAAATTTTTAAGAAAGAGCTAGGGGCATATCTCAGTGGTACAGTGCTTTTCTAACCTGCATAAAACCCTATGTTCAGTCCCTAGCAAAAAAACAAAACAAAACAAAACCTGCTAGGAAAGCCAGTAACATTCAAATTCCAATTTTCTAAAATACATATAATCATTGACATGCAAATAAATTATTAACTGTAGTTAATTTTAAACCAATGAGATTATGATCAATATTATATGAATTATTATGCAACTACATATTTACCTTCAGTGTTTCATTGAATTCTGGATTGGTGCCTGATCTGATTTTGGTCTTGCGCTTATTGTTTCGAGACTTGTCTGGAAGAAGGTATGACTTGACATAACTGTTGGTAATAAAGAATAAAAGTAATTACTTGGATGCATACACTTTTCAAGAAATATTCAAGGATTTCAATGGAGAAAAAAGCAAATGGATCAATGAGTAAAAGCGAGGAGACCAAAGTGAATGATGTCTATCTAAGTTTGGGTCTTCCACAAGAGAGAAACAGTATAATGGTACAGTGTGCTGATGCTAGAGTCAAGGCAATTTGTTTTGGATCACCCCATGCCTCTGGTTTCGATGAGCTCAATAATTTAACTTTTCCATGCTATATGTAAAACTGATATAAACTCTACATCTGACTCATGGCACCGTGTGGATTAAATTAATTGACATATACAAGAAGCTGACATCCTATGCTTCTCCATAAATATGGTCTAATACATTGTCAATGGGCTCATAAACTTTTCTGGTTCAATGCCTTTCTTTATATATATTATATTATAAATAATATAATATATTATATATATTACTGTAAAAATACTGTACAGAGGGGTTACAGTTATATGAGGTAATGAGTACATTTTGTAGCAAGCATTGTTACCTCTTCCTTTGTTTTCCCCCTATGGGTCAATGCTTTTCTATTCCTAGTCAGTCCTTCTGATGTCAGGGAGTGGAGTGCAATCATAATGAGTAGGAAAAAAAGAAAATTGTAAAGAAAAAGAAGAAATAGAAAGTGACAACTTGAAGTCATAGCAGTAATTCTGTCCAATGTCGTGGTTTGAACTCTCTCAGCAGCTTCTTTCAGCAATAGCATCATTGCTGACTTAGAAATTTATAGAATTGAAGCTGGGCACTGGTGGCTCATGCTTGTAATCCTAGCTCCTCAGGAAGCTGAGATCTCAGGATTGTGATTTGAAGCCAGGGTGGGCAGGAACATCCATGATACTCTTATCTCCAATTAATCACAGAAAAAGTCAGAAGTGGTGCTATAGCTCAAGTGTTAGAGTGCTAGCCTTGAGAAAAAAAGCCCAAAGACAGCACTCAGGCAAAGGGTTCGAGGCCAAGGACCAGCAAAAATAAATGAAATTTATAGGACTGAAATAGACAAGATGCTACTAGAGTTCTGAAACACATCTGCTGTTTTTTTTTTTTTAGCTATCTCTTTTCATGCTGGTCAAAACAATTATATCTGTCTTGGGGAATCTCTGAAATTAGGTTGAGGAGACGAGTATAGCTGTAGTTAGAATCTATTCATTGTTCTTGGACATAGGTCCTCTATTGTGCAGAAAAAGTTAACATAGAAAGACTGAGGTTGCCATTCTTTAGTCAATCTTGTTAGCAATGGCTTACCAATCTCAGAACTGAAAAAAGTAGCACATTGTGTCTATACTGTTCATACAAAACAATACAGCTTATGCTAAACATGTGTTTTCCTTCAGGGAGCCTGAAAATTTGGCATATAATCATGTGTGTCTCCAATAAGGTCCTCTTGTAGATAACATTTCATAGGAATTAAGTACATCCTGTGTAGCTCTATTGGGAGAGGACCCTGGAAAGCTTGAATCTAGTTTCTTCAGCACTTTATCCCATGTGTCTCTTCCATTCTTTGATGATAGCTGAAGGCAGAATCCTGTGAGTCTTTCTAGTGAACCATTGAAGCTGGCAGTTATAGCTCCCACCCAACATGCTATGGTCCATACTTGCACTCCCAAGCTGATGCCTAGAATCTCCAGAGCTTCATAATCACCTTTTTGAATTATTCAATTGGAAAACAACTTGGCAATTTAATCTGGAAGATTTCCCAGAACAGAAATCATCATGATACTCTTGTATATCCTTGATGTGCCAACATGGCAGCCCAATACTTCAAGACCCTGCATCTGTGTGAACTACAGCTTTGTGAGTTGGGAATCATGTTGAGTAATGGTCTTTTACAAATCAGGTAACCAAGGATACAACCATTGTAGAAGTACAATGATTGTATTGGTATATAGCAATGAATTTCAGAGAACATTTACAAATGTGGTATAGGAGGAAAGTGACAGTCAATTCCTGATGTTCCAAATTGAGTGGGATGCTATGGCACTTCTGAAAAAGAAATGCACACACAAAGCAGACAGTGCTTGAAATAGTCTGAGGAACATGCTTCATGCTTACGCATCTGTCCTCTGTTTCTTTTCATCTCCTATGGCCAGATTTCTGCAATTCTTGACAAAAATGTAGAGCCCGCCAGTTTTGTAGCAGTAGCTGATGTGGAGAAGGATTTCACCACTGACCTTCACATTACCATAGTCTCCTGTTTCACTGTAAACACTCATCATGCTGTTAAGGCTGGTCTGAAATAAACAAGGTAAAAAGAAGGTTTCCAGTGTTATTCTAAGGTTTCTTTTTCTTTTTCTCCATAGAATCCATCACCTTGGTTCAGTTATAATTCCTGTTCTTTATAACGAGCAGGAATACCTAAGGTGAAGAAAAAGTATGTGACCTGTTTTGTTGGTGGCAAATAAAACTTGAGCCAATCCAGTATTATTAGTAAAGAAGGCAGGAAACTTGTTGATAGAAAAAGCTTTATCTTATGGGGTTTGTAAAACCCTTTGTTTATTCATTTCTTTTAATGAATAATCATGAAAGGTTTCTTTCTTTTTTTTTGGGGGGGGTCAGTCGTGGGGCCTGAACTCTGGGCCTGGGCACTGTCCCTCAGCTCTTCAGCTCAAGGCTAGCGCTCTACCATTTGAGCCACAGCACCACTTCTGGCTTTTTTCTTTTTGCTTATGTGGTGCTGAGGAATCAAACCCAGGGCCTCAGGCATGCAAGGCAAGTGCTCTACCACTGAGCCACCTTCCCAGCCCCTCATGAAAGGTTTCTAATACCACTTCTCTCCATCCTTGCCACTTTCTACTTTTATATTAGTTCAATCTACTTCAAAGTCTAAAATACAATGGTCAAGACCAAGAAAAACTCATCTCATATTCTGCACTAGCAAAAGCCTCCTGGTTTCTTTCCATGACTCCCACAAGGAACCACAAGCTGTAGTTTTAACAAAGGCAAGAAAAAGAACATCATATCCCACAGCTGCTTTGATACCCAAACTAAGTAACTGTGTGGCTACATAGACCATGGCTTTGAAATCCTTTGAAATATTGATCCACAAAATGTAACCCTAAATAATAAAGACATACTCCCTCGAATCAATGAAATAAAAAATTCCAAAGTTTTAAATGTGCCAGAACAAATTAAGCTTTTGTCAAGACACTAATAACATTGGTTCTCAATACTGGGATTTGAACTTAGTCTCACAGCTGATAAGAAGGCACTCTATCCAAGCCTCCAGCGCCGTTTTCTGTTACTTTTTTTTTTTGAGACATGGTCCTGCTCTTTGTACAGGTGCATATCTGTACCACAATGCCTATTTTAGGCTTCATGTTATTGCTGGGATTACAGATGTGTGCCATCACATCCAGTTGCCCACACTCTTGAGATAAGAGTTTTTGTGGATTTTTTTTCTTGGGCTGACTTAAAATCACAATCCTCCTAGTCCCTGCCTCCCATGTAGCTTAGGAAGATAAAGGTGAGCCACCAGGCCCAGCTAAGGGTTGAGAAGGTGTATTGCAAACATTTTTGTCTATTCTGGCCTCGACCCATAGATGGTCCTTCCACTTTCAGCCTTCCAAGTAGCAAGGTTTATAGGTATAAGTCACTGGAATTCAGTATATGGGATATATTTTAATTAAATTAATTATAAGAAAATCATTCTGTAGCACTAGAAACAAAAATTCTCTGTCTTACTAACATGGCTTTCACAAAAGACCACTTCAGGGGTTGGGTGCTCTCTCTAAGCATTTTTGCTCAAGGCTAGTGCACTACCATTTTGAGCCACAGCTCTACTTTCAGCTTTCTGGTGGTTAATTGGGGCTAAGAGTTTCACAGACTTTCTTGCCTGGGCTGGCTTTAAACCATGATCCTCAGATCTCAGCACCCTGAGTAGCTAGGATTACAAGCATGAGCCACCAGCACCTGGCTAAGACCACTGATATTTGTAAAGATCATGGGAAGATTTCACTAGTGATATAGTAGTTTCATTAGTCTTAAAGAAGACTATGTATGAGTGTGTATGAGTGTGTATGAGTGTGTGTGTGTGTGTGTGTGTGTGTGTGTGTGTGTGTGTGAAAACCATGCATAAAATATTTGGCAAAAGCCATTTCCCCTCACATTGCTTAAAATAGAGGCTGTTCAACAAATAGGAGGTGGGTGACATGGCTCATATCTTTTGAAGCTTAAGGCATAAGCAAGAGCAAACTAAGGATTCCAAAATTAATTGGAAATTTCATTCAAAGGGAGCCAGTAAGTAACCTAATTGGGTTACTTATTCCTAAAATAAAGCAACACAATTTTCATGTTTAGTAGGTGGCTTTTAACAGTGTTTTTCCACACTTGAATTGCACATAAATTACCTGGGGATCATTTAAAAATGAAGTTTCTGATTGATGAGTAAGTCTAGGGAAGGGTCTGAGACTTTGTTTTTTCAATCAATACCTAGATTCAAAGTTTCCAAATAGCATGACCAGAGCTCCACAGAAAATTTATAGAAGCACCACAGAATATTTTAAGTTTAAAGGGAAACACAAACACAGCAATGTCTATCAAATATCATGCAAAATCTAAGTAGGAGTTATTTTAATGGTCAAAATGTCCTCATTAAATAATATTTTGTTCTTTTGTTAATGAATTTCTATTTGTGTGAATCGGAGCTTTTGGCAGTTTCTGCAACAAATAAAAAGAACATAAAGCAAATATTCCATAAAAATCAATGTAAAGGCTGGGTGTGCTGGTATAAACTATAAACCCAGCACTTGAGCAACTGAGGAAGGAGGGTTTTGAGTTCCAGGTCACCTGGGCTACACAGAAATAACCTGTCTCAAAAGAAAGTCAATATACAACAGAGAATGAAAGTGATGATATCCAACTAGGTTCTAAGATTTGAGAAACTATACTATTCAACAGCATATATGTTCTATTAGTAAGTAATCGAGGCTATTAAAGAATTCAATGCATTTTTTTCAATCTACCTGCATTCTTTTTCAAATGGCTATATTAAGTGATTAGGATACAAATAGTTATTATTATTATGTTGTTTAGACCTAATGGCTTAATAATTGACTAGTCAATTGTTATTTTGGGCCTTAGAACACCATGAAAGAATTACAGAGAGTCAAGGGGCTCTGTACCCTGAGAAAAGTTTGAAATCTCTATCTCAGGTTATCTCAGGTGGTCTATGAACGAAGCTTTGAGTACTAAGAACCAACCCCTTACAATACACCAAAGAAAACTCTGGCTTATAGAAATCATTGGGAATGTCTAGACATAAGTTGTTAGTCCCAGGTTTCTAGTTAGAAGCCCTCCTAATCACATCTCACTACCTCATTAAGTGACTAAGTCGTGTCTTCACTACATTCTTTTGTAGCCACATCATTGAGTAGGCCCTCTATAAGCAAGGGGACCCCAAGGATAGAAGCATATATAAGAACCCACAGAAAAATGAGGCTTTGGAAAATTGAAGGCAGCTATGGAAAGTTTACTATTAACCAAACATTTTGCTCTTAACCAAGCCAAGTCTGTGACTCAGAATGGAGATGTTTAAGCAAAAGGTTTTTGTTGATAGGTAATCCTTTTGGATCATGTGTTTCCTGACTAGCACTCTGATTTCCATGTGTAGTGAGCTGAAATACTTGACTTCTAACAAACTCATTAACCTTTTCAAAAGAGAACTTCTGGCTAGCTATACAGCATTCAGAAACAGATGAATGGTAGATGCAATGCCTACTTAAATCATATGTCCATATCTGCAAGATTTGTGAAGTATAGTTGAAAAATGGAAAAAGTAAGGCTGAAAACTCACAGTGTCTGAATCAGCATCAGGCACATTTAGGTAGGTCCACTTCCTGTCAGAGACTGCTTGAGAATTCTTTAAGGAAATCACCCAAAGACCAAAAGGAAAAAGGGAATTAGAGCAATAGATGTTAGAGAAGCAAAGCAACAGACATATAGACACAGATAAATATGAGTACACAGGGCTCCTAGAGCCTTCCTCTCAAAGAAAACCTTGAACATTAAAGCAGGAAATCTCTTTCAGAGTTTTCCTTGTTTTCCTGTAGCAGTTTCAGTTTCAGGTATTATATTAAGATCTTTGATCTGTTTTGATTTTTGTACAGGCTTAGAGGGTGAGAGGTGGTGGTCTTGTTTCAGCCTCCTGCATGTATAGACCCAGTTTTTCCAGCAGTGTTTGTTGAAGAGGCTGGCTTTTCTCCAGTGTAGGTTTTTGGTACCTTTGTCAAAGCCCATCTTGTAGAATCAGCCAAGGTGCTCCAAAACTGATGGATGAACATGGAAACTATTTCATACATATACTATGGAATACTACTCCATCATAAAGAAAAATATAATTATGTCATTTGCAGGGAAATGGATGGAAGTAGAGATCATCATGAGTGAGAGAACTCAAAAGGCCAAATATTGCATGTTTTCATTCATTTGTGGAGTACAGACCTAAAATGATGACAACAGTCAAGATAATTGGGGCATGAATGTAAAGGGGGACTGTCTAAAAGGGACCAGGAAGAGAGGGGAGGAACAAATGAGGGAATACTGAGGAGTGAAGAGGATTGAAGGATCTTCACACATACACACACACACACACACATACATACATACACACATCTATAAATGTGTATATATATGTATGGGTATACATATATATGTATATTGTATATTGTATGCATACATAGAATATTGAAGCTCAACAAGTACCGAATGAATAAGGGGGAAAGAGTAACAGGAACATGGTGAAGAGAGTAAATTTGTTCAAAGTATACTGTTCAAAGCATAACAGGAAATATCACAATGAAAAACCCTTCATATTTTACATATGTAGTAATTCAAAAAGAAAGCTGTTAATTGTGCAGGCAGTGAGAGCTGTGTAATTTCTGAACAGAAGAAAAACCTCAGTGGGGATAAGTTTTAGGAAAATGACTGGCAGCAGTGTGGAAAGCAGTTAGAGTTGTGAGAATGCTGTCAGGAAAAGTTATGTGCAGAGAACTTAATTATAGGCTTGAGCTTACTGGGACCAAACTAGGAAAGGAAGTGTATGTATGTATATATGTATCTATCTATGTATGTGCCAGTCCTGGGGCTTGCACACAGGGCCTGGGTGCTGCCTCTGAGCTTTTATGCTCAAGGCTAGTGTGCTCTCACTTCAGCTACATCTCACTTCAGCTACTTCTGTCATCTTGGTGGTTAGCTGGAGATCAAGTCTTACAGACTTTCCTGCCTAGACTGGCTTTGAACCACAATCCTCAGATCTCAACCTCCTGAGTTACAGGAGGATTGCAAGTGTGAGCCACTGGCACCCAGCCAGGAAGATATATTTTTAAAAATCACACAATTGTACATATTTCTGGGCATATAATTTGATAATTCAATATATATATATATACAACATGTAATCATCAATAATATGAGGACAATTCACATTTTATTATTTTATGATGTTGGGAATCTTCAAACTCTTCTCTTCTGCTTCTTTATAAAATGAAAAGGATGAGATGGGAAAATCTGGGTGAGAACCATGGAAAAGAAAGGAATCAGAGCCTTAGAAAGAGGCCACATAACATTAGATCCAATGATTACTATAGGCACAGGGTAATCAGGAACCTACAGGTGCTGTGTACTCATCACATATTTCCTCAAGAATGCTTATATCTCCTATGGAAATGCACAGAAAATAGACATTAGAAAGAAGATCATTTCTGTTTGTGTCAGACAGCTGCTTACAGTTGATAGGCCACTTGCCAGACTGTGGGTGTTTGCAGAAAACTGGGACGATGCTCTGTCATCAACACCTTCTTCAATCTCTTCGAAGGAGTTCTAAGAAAATAGGAGAAATCAGATGTTTGGTTTATTTCTTACCTATAAGTTTTTTTTCACCTGGAAGACCAATTTCTTTAATGTATATGTAAAAATCAGCTATGATCTTTCTCTAGATCGTTCTCTTTTCCCCTCTAATTAATCTGAATTGTACCATTAAGGGAGTAGATAGGGCTGGAGAGGAAGACTGAGACTCTTTCCTAACAGTACTTGCTTTATAGAAAGAGCATGACTCACACGTACCTAGGTTCTTTTTCTTCCCCCAGATTTCCAAGGTATTTACATGGGAAATGTGCTTAAGATTTTCAACAATATTTTGACCACTGTGTGTATAAAAGTCTAGATTTAAAATAATTTTCCTTCAATACTTTGAGAGTATTTTCTCCTTCATCTTCTTGTACACTGTTACCATAGAAAGCTGATAAATGGGATGCTTGTTTATTTGTAGGACATATAATTTGTCTCTAGAAAGTTTTAGAATTTGCTCTTGTGCTTAACAGTCTTTGATTTTACTATGTTTCTAGATATGAGATAAATGTTTCAATTCTGAGAAATGGAACTTATTGTTTCAGTCTATTTTTGATATTTTTATATTTTGCTCTTTCTGAATATGTTATTTACCCAGCATACTAGTAGTCTTTATAAATCTTTATTTTTTTTTCCAGTCCTGGGACTGAATTCTGGGTCTGGGTGATGTCCTTGAGCTCCTTCAGCTTACAGCTTAAGGCCAGCACTCTACCACTTGAGCCACAGCTTCACTACCAGCTTTTTGGTGGCTAATTGGAGAAAAAAGTCACACAGACTTCCTGTTTAGGTTGGCTTCAAACAGCAATCCTCAGATCTCAGCCTTCTGAATAGCAAGGATTACAGGTGTGAGCCACTGGTGCCTGACTTATACACTGTCTTTTAATAAATGGGACACAAGGGGCTGGGAAGGTGGCTCAGTGGTAGAGCGCTTGCCTTGCATGTCTGAGGCCCTGGGTTCGATTCCTCAGCACCACATAAGCAAAAAGAAAAAAGCTGGAAGTGGCGCTGTGGCTCAAGTGGTAGAGCGCTAGCCTTGAGCTGAAGAGCTGAGGGACAGCGCCCAGGCCCAGAGTTCAGGCCCCACGACCGGACCCAAAAAAAAAAAATAAATGGGACACAAAATTATGAACATAGAAGGAATTATCATACTAATCTCTTATTATGGATCATTCACTTTCAAAAATTATTAATAAATGTTAGTTATTTCCTTTGTCACATACTTCTCCCCCACACCAATTTGAGATATAACATAAAGATAAAAGTAAATATATATAAGTATAAATATTAATATACTCAAGAGAATGGTTACTCACTCCTATAATCCTAGCTCCCCAGGTGGCTGAGATCAAGAAGATGGTGATTTGAAGCCAATCCAGGCAAAAAGTTTGTGAGATCTCATTCTACCAATACAATCTGGGTGCAATGGTAGGTGCCTGCTAGCATAAAAGTAGGAGGATGGTGGTTCAGACTGACCCCCACATAAATAAATGAGAGATTTTTTAAAAAATAATGAGAGCAAAAATGACTGGGGATGTGGCTCAAGTGCCAGAACTCCTGCCTGGCAATTGCAAGGTCCTGACTTCAGACAAATTCCAGAAACTCCTATATCCAATTAGCCAGGAAAAATCCAGAAATGGAGGTATTATTTCCTTGATGATTTTGGAGACAAGAATCTGATGGACTTTTCTGCCTGGGCTAGCTCTGAATCACAACTTTCTGGATCTAAGCTTCCTGAGTAGCTAGGATTACAAGCATGAGCCACTGGCATGTAGCCAGTTAATGTTAAATCAAACTTGTATCCCTGCCATACACTCTACTTGGTTTGAGTGTTGCTGGACTTGTGTTGTTGTTGCTGTTACTGGACTTGGTTTATAAAATGAAATGGTAAATATTTCCTTCTCAATTTTCTGACCATGGTATAAACTTTTAGGATTTATTTCTTCTTCAACTACTTGATGGAATTCATTGGTGAAGGTATCTGTATCTTGACTTTTCCATAGGGAGTGTAAAGTTTGGCCTAAAGCTATTTCCACACATATTTTTAAGTATTCTAAAGGTTTCTTCATATCTAGTGAACTACAACATAACCTGATGCATAACAGACCTTTCTTTAAACAAGTAGCCGAGTCTCAGCTAATCTAAGGCAGCCACTGGTGTTCAAATCACATTCAAATAAGACAGACTCAAGTTGGAACCAATGAGGCTTCCTCATTTCCAGTTTCTGTGGTACTTCTTGCCTGTGAATATCATTCTATGTGGCAAGGTGAGGTTTTTAAAACCATTTTGGTCCACATTTTGGATGATTCTTCAATCACATATAATGCGAATAAAATCTGTAAAACTAGATTTGTGATGTGAGTGTGTGTGTGTGTGTGTGTGCGCGCGCGCGCACACGCACGCGTGCACATGCACGTGCCACTACTGGGGCATGAACTCAGTGCCTTATGCTCTTGCTTTGCTTTTTCTCTCAATGATGGCACTTTGACTTGAACTATACCTCCACTTCCAGATTTTTTTTTCTGGTTAGTTGGAGAATTTCTTGGATTTGTCTGCCTGGGCTGGCTTGAACTGAGATTATATGAGTCACAAGTGTCCCCACTGATTTGTTATTTTTTTCTATACAGGGAAGACTTAAATAAGATTTTAAATTTATTCATTATAGAGCTATTCAGACTGGGTTTAATTTTTGAGTCAGTTTTGGTAATTTGTGTTTATTTTATCTAAGTTGCCAACTGTGAGTGCATATAATTGTTCATAGAATCACCTTAAAGCCATTTCACTTTTTTAATATTGGTAATGGCATTCCTTTACGTATCCCTAGTTCTGATAAATTATCACTATATATTTATCTTGAATAGGGGTGATTTATATTTATCTTGACTAGGAGTGGTTTTATCTTCCAAGGTTGTCTGGAGATATTTTTGAAGGTCACGACTGGCTAAGAATTAGTGAAAAAAGGCTGGCCTTAGCCTTAGTTACTTCCAAGTATCCTATAGTATACGGGATAAGACACCCTTGCCACAACAACAAATTATATGGCTCAAAGTGTCAAAAGTGTCAAGGTTGAGAAATTGTAAGTAGCTGAAGATTTTTCAATATTATTGATCTTACAAAACCAGTATTTGTCCTCATATATTACAGCAGTTCCAAATTCTGCTTATTTTTTCTCTGAAGGTCACTATTGTTGCTTTTTTTTGTATGCTTCTTTGTGTGTGTGGGGGGGGGGCAAGGCTTGAAGTCAAGGTTTGGACACTGTTCCTGAACCTTTTTGTTCAAGGCTAGTATTCTATCACTTGAACCACAGTCCACTTTAGGCTTTTTAGTAGTTAAAGGGTCTCATGGACTTTCCTGCCAGAGCTGGGTTTGAACAGTGATCCTCAAATCTCAGTCTCCTGAGTAGCTAGATTTACAGGCATGAGCCATCAGCATGAAGCTACATGCTTCTCTTTAAAAAATTAATTTACTTACTGTTATTACAAAGGTGATATACAGAGGAATTACAATTACGTGAGTCTGGTAATGAGTCCATTCCTTTTCATCCAGTACTTCTCTTCAAGCTTTATTTGTTTAGCAAATGTGTATGGATGCTTAGGTCTCTGCTTAGTTTTTAGTTGTTTTTAACCTTTTGTTAATAAACCACATTTCTGCATGAAGTTTTTGTTTGTTTATTTTTGCCAGTCCTGGGGATTGAACTCAGGTCCTGGACACTGTCACTGAGCTCTTCTTTTTTTTTTAAATTTAAATTTTATTGTCAAGGTGATGTACAGAGAGGTTACAGTTACATACATAAGGTAGTGAGTACATTACTTGTTAAACATTGTTACCTCCTCCCTAGTTTTTCTCCCTCTTTTCCTCCCCTGAAGTGCTCCTAAGTTTTCAACATTGTCTTGTGAGTATCACCCTTCATCCTCTGTCTCACCATTTTTATTGTTCCCCTTCCTTTCCCTAATTCAGATAAATGTATATACAATATAGGGTGCCAAAATCAAATACAGTGGCAACAAGGGATAAAACATAGGAAAAATAAAAGAATGAAAGAAAAAAGAAATAACATCACACAGTACATTCAAAACAACAACCACAACAAAGAAAAACCTCTTGTTTCCATATCTGGGAGTTCGTTTTGCTTAACATCATCTTATATGGTCATATGTATATAGCTATTGAGCTATTGTGATCTCTTGAGCTTCTCTTGCTCAAAGCTAGCACTCTACCATTTGACCTACAGCACCACTTTTTCTGTTTATGTGGTACTGAGGAATTGAACCCAGGTCTTCATGCATGCTAGGCAAGCACTCTACTACTAAGCTATATTCCCAGCCATGAAGAGTTTTATAGTCAGTTCATAACTATGAAGAGATTGTGCTTAAACAAACCTCTAGCTAGTGAGTATTCAATCCTATTTCAATGGAGCTGTGTGTTAAATTTATTTATTTCTTTACTATTTTCTTACATTTTTTAAAATTAAGTAATTATTTTCTTATATTTTTGCTGATCCTGAGGCTTGAACTCAGGACCGGGGAGCTGTGCCTGTGCTTTTTTGCTCAAGACTAGTGCTATACCATTTGAGCTACAACTGTACTTACAACTTTTTGGTGATTAATTTGAGATACAAGTGTAATGGACTTTCCTGCCCAAGGTAGCTTTGAACAGTGATCCTTAGATCTCAGCCTCCTGAGTAGCTAGGATTGCTACTGCCTCTCTCTCTCTCTCTCTCTCTCTCTACTGGTACTGGGGTTTCAATTCAGGGCCTTCTGAATGAGCTCAGTGATCCTACTGCCTCTGCCTCTTGAGTAGTTAGAACTATAGGTGCATTTAATGGGCCTGGCTCTGATTGTTGTTTTCTTAGAAATGATTTACTTTTTCTAAGTAATTTTTTCATTCACTTGTACATGCTGACTTTGAATGCTACCAAGAATAGATATTGTACATTCTTACTTTCCTCTCAACTCATCATCATCTAAAAGTGGAACTGCTTGGAGCAAAACTATCTCTTTCTTCCTGACCATGGGACTCCCTTCCAGATCAAACTTACCAAATCATTGTCTAAAGTTCCAGGGACAGATCTGCTTCTTACACTTTCTGTATCTTCTAAGTCTTCTGTAAAAGACCCACTCAAATCTAACTCAGATCGACTCTGGTCTGGAGAAAGGAAAAGCAAAAGATAAACGTGAATCAGCTTATCTTATTAGAAGTTCCCATTTCTCTTTCTCCTTGCAAATGTTTCATTTTTATGCCAGTTTTGTTTAGGGATAGAGTACAGATAGTGTCATAGAAGTGACAGCGAGGGCCAATAACTTCATACTGTTTATGTTAGCTTCCTTTTTTATAGCATTTTTGAAACTGCCTTGGATTAAGCACTAACATTTGATCACAGGAGTTTAAGTGCTCTACTATAAAATGCTAAGCCTCAATCTTTAAGGCTTCTGCTTTATGTCTAGACTTAAAAAAAAACCTCTTATAGATTCAGTCCTCAATTCATTGTGCTTTCACATTTGACATAAAATGCAAGTTAAACAATTCTAAAATTCAACTTTTAAACGGTAGAGCACGTTCCTTTCACATAAAATGGGAGTAAAGAGTTGAGAGGAAGCTTCTTTAGGCACTAGAACATTTTTTCATGAACAAAACATCTTGCTTTTGGTTTTAAAAGTATCAGTTAAAGAATACTGCATTTCTCAGTAGTACTGTGGACAGCTCATCAAGTCAGGATAATTTTCACAGAATATTTCCTAACCAAAATCATGCTGTGGTACATAGAGTGGTTTTATAGATGAGAAAAATGGGAGAAGGTGATCAAATGGTTAAGTTTAAAATGAAAAAATATAGAAATGCTTAGCATAGTTCCAGAGAGAATATGTACTCCAGAGATAGGATCTGTCTAAGCTAGCTTGAAACTTTTCACTTTTCTAGGCTAGCTTACAATTTTAATTTTTAGTTGTCTTGATAAAAGTGATCACACAGATTTAGAAGACTGGTACACAGAACCTCACATATGCACACGTGTGCGTGTGCATGTGCATGCACACACATACTTCTCCCTCTCCTCTCCTTCTCTCTCTCTCCTCTCTCTCCCTCTTTCTCTCTCTCTCTCTCTCTCACACACACACACACGCACACACGCATACACACAACCATTTTGGATCTGGCTGAGAGAGATTTCCTAACTTTACCTAAGCTATAACCTGGAATCTAGCCCTAGGCTTTATGAATATATGATCACTAAGAAACAGTAAAATTTTAATGTTGAGAATTTCATGAATTTAGTTCTTCATATGGGATACAAAATTGATAATTATGAGCATTCCTCTAAATAGTTTCCTTATTCATAGGTAATGATATTGTTACATAAATATTTGGCTCACGAGATTGTTGTGATAACAAAATAAAATATATGAATGTGTCATATGTTAAACGGAAAAGGTTATGATTAATACCTCAACGTTATTTGTAAATAACTCATTTAAACCATGAAATAACTTAGTCATGTGGACAGAGAGACCTTCTGGCCATCAAATCAGTTGAACTATTTTTCTCAAACTCTGGTCAAGTATTATTATCTATTGTATCAAACATATCCTAGAGCCATTTAAATTCCTTACAGAGCCCTAAAAATTGTCAATGATGCCTGGCAAGAGTATACACTCAGTAAATTGATATTTCGTGAATGCAATAGCATGAATTAAACAAGAAAGCTCAGTAATCACAGGTCTCTGACCTCAAACCTTGATACCCCCCCTTAAAAAAAATAAAAATAATCGATCCAGACTCTGTTGGCTCACAACTATAATATAGCCACTCCAGAGGTGAGGAGTGGAAAGACTGAAGTTTGAGGCCATCTCAGACAGATTCTATTTCCAAAATAACCAATAAAAATCAAGGCGGAAGGCATGTTTCAAGTGGCAAGTGTCAGCCTAACAAGTATGTGGACCTGAGTTCAAATCCAATGCTACAAAAAGTGGATGATTATTCTTTCGAGGCATATCACAATAATACCATAGGGAATAGTCAATTCCATCTGATTCCATCATTTATGACAACAGAGCAGTCATTCTGTAAATGATCACCTGAGCAAACCGAGGCCCCAGACACTGCTATGGAAGGTGTGCCCGAAGTATTTCTGCGGTGGCTCTTTGTGAGGTTTTCAGAGGTGCTTTCAAGCGCAGCCAAACCCACGGAATTTTCAAAACCATGTTCCTTCACAGAGAGTACAAAAGAAGAAAGGAAGATTATATTGATGAATTTACCTTAAAATCCTTCCATATAAATCTACTCAGTATACATAAACTAATGTGTATTACTTTTTAGGAGGAATGAACTGCTATTTAAAGGAACCTCATCAGCAGCCCATAGAACTCCAAAACTTACTATCAATACATTTATTCCAAAATGTTTTCTATTTTGCACAAAGGCACTTGAATATGTTTTTCATTTGCAAAATTAGCATTGTAATATATAGTTAGCAAGAAGGGACCAGGGGGAGAGGGAATGAAATAATAGGGATTATTGAGGAGTAAAGAAGATGGAAAGATGCTCTGTGTGTGTGTGTGTGTGTGTGTGTGTGTGTGTGTGTGTGTGTGTGTGTGTGTGTGTGTGTGTGGTTTCACAATAGCATAATGAAATCTACCAAATGCTGTTTGAAAAGGTGGAACAAGGGGAGGATTGGGACAGGGTGGAAGTGATAAATGTGTTTAAGTACACTCACTATGTGTATGAATGGAAATACCACAACGAAACCCTCCTATATTAAAAAATATACACTAATTCAAAAGTAGAAAAAGAAATGGTACAGGTATCTCTAGTCTTGGAAGACACACTATGTTTAAGTAATCTGGTGAGCTTTACACTGATTAGCATGTGGCCTTACAAATCTGGTCTTACATTTCTTCTCTGAATATCTACTCTGCTACCCTGCTACTTGCTCTGTAATGTTCCCCCAAAGACCCATATATTAGACGCTTGGTCTTTAGTTTGGTGCCATTAGAAACCTTTATTTTCTTGCTTTCATATCTTGGAGTTCATTTGGATTAGCATCATTTTGTATGGTCATATGTACATTGCTATTGAGCTATTGTGATCCTCTGTTAGGACTATTCTAATTATTGCAAATAAGGGAAACCATGGAGCCTACGTTTCTTTGGATCTGGCTTATTTAATATGATATTTCCATGTCTTTCCACTTCTAGAGTAAGGACTTTGTCAGCTTACAGAAGTAGCTGATGGGGATGGGAGAGGTTTCCTGCTTCAAAATAAGTGCTGTCTGTAGCAGAATTCAGTCTGAGTCTAGTTTTCATTGTAACCTATGATAAAGCAAAATGGTCCCAACCATTGCCAGGTCTATGGGGATTTGACTGCTGCATCAATACGCAACTTGCTTTAATATTTTAAAAATGTGGACTATTTGAGAAATAGGCTGAAGTTCAATGTCTATGTAGATCCCATCATGGCATGACAATGATCAAACCTGAAACAGACCTTATAAATAGTCCAAAATGTGCCCTTCAAAGTCCTACAGTGTGGAATGCCTTCCTTGTTGCCTTCACCTTACACATTCAAGTATACTTTAATAAACTCATTCCAGAGAGCTGTGGCTCTGACTTGCTTAGCATGCTAATCAGTTCAGTTTCAGCAGCTTGATTTTACTTCTTCATTACTTTCCAACACATAAGACCTTGTAGCAGAAGCTATATAGCTCCCAAGTCTTCTAATTGCCATGGGTTTATCAACAGAATATGACAGAGGTTAAATGGCTAAATGAGTTTAGGTCAGTTTTTAGCAGCTCTTCAAAAAGTTCTTCATACATGGCATCCTCTAATGAAGCAAAACCAACTTCTTATTGGCAATTATGATGATGGTAAATTTTCACACAGGTGATCTAGGGCTACTGCTAATATAGAAGAGTAGAACAATTGATATTGTAGAGTCATTAACATGGAATGCATGCCATCGAGCTTCTACATATGAAGCTTAAAATGAGCAAGTTACATCACAGTAGAGGACAGGTGAGAGGCATTCTTGTCCTGAAAGTTTATGAAGTTGAAAAACATTCCTAAAGCAGAAAAGAATATTGAAGCAAAGATATGCCAAGAAATTGGAGAAAAGGAGAAATTGTGACTTCGACTATTAACTGTAGGTCCTCATTCTCTTTGTTATGAAGGAGCAAATGTGTTTTGTAAACCACTGTGCAGTCTTATTTTTAACATAAGATGTTTCTTTTGCTCTTTCCTTAGAAAAATTACCTTAGTCTAACCCATAAGGAAAACATGAGATCAACATTGGCAGTATTTATAGACAATGTACCCAACTTCTTTGAAGGCAGTTTCTGTTGACAAGGTGATTTTTCTCCCCTATGCTCTCAGACAGTACCTGAAAAATAATCCTTGCTTTGAGGACAATCCTTGCTTTGAACAATTTTTTGGGTTATTTGCGAGAGTCAGCTGTTCTTCCTTGACACAGTGTTTTTATGGACTTTTATATCTGTTGATAAACTGAACTACCCAACCCGTCTTTCCTTCCTCATTGGATGGGAGCCTCCACTCAATCTGCACTACTGAATAGCATAGAAGGGTTCTCAATATACTGCCTATCCTTGTGCCAGTATAGGTTCTGATTGCTTGTGCCCCTCCCTTACACATTGCTAAATATGTTGAATATCATTTCTTGTTAGGTTGCCAAAAAAGTGAGCATAACCATCAACTATCTATGTGCTTTGAACACAGTCTGCTTGCTGAGCTTAGCATAAGTATTTGCGACATTTAAAAATATGCCTTTTAGCTTAGCAATTACGTTCTAGGCTAAGTGTTTGAATAAATATCATATTAAAATTAGAATGTCTTTTTTTCCCTTAAAATATCTACAGAGGGGCTGGGAAGTTGGCTTAGTGGTAGAGTGCTTGCCTTGCAAGCATGGGGCCCTGGGTTCGGTTCCTCAGCACCACATAAGCAGGAAAAGCCAGAAGTGGCGCTGTGGCTCAAGTGGTAGAGCTCTAGTCTTGAGCTGAAGGGCTGAGGGACAGCGCCCAGGCCCAGAGTTCAAGCTCCATGACTGACAATATGCACACACACAACACACACACACACACACACACACACACACACATACACACATATATGTATCTACAGAATCTAACTGCTTACTACCTTCACTGCCATCTCCCTGTTCTAACGCCCAGTCTTTTGCTTGGTATATGGAACTTTTGCCCCTTTAAAGACAATTTAAATGTAAATTGGACCTGTTTGGTTTGGCTATTGTATAAGTGACTAAAAAGCTATCTTATTATGAATGATCATTTGTGGCTGATTTTATTCTATACGGGTCATGTACAATTTTCATGGCAGAGACAAGTGCTGTTCTAGGGGACATATCTCTGGGACATTTTAAAACCAGAACCAAATGTCTTGTCAGTTTCAAATACAGGTTAAAAGATTTAGGAAATGTTTTAGAAACTGGCTGAATAGGACACTGACTTTTCAAGTTAGAGGTTGTCTATTTGTGGAATCAGTATCATAGAGATGATACTTTGCCCCAGACATCTGCATGGGCAATTCTTTCATTTTCTTGAAGTATTTGCTTGGTCTATACCTCAACAAATACTAGTAGGACCTCAACAAATACTGATTGAATTGAAGAACTGTGGTTGATATATAAAGATTTTAAAAAATTATCTTCAAGTAATTATGCAAGGGACTTTTAACTTAACATATATGAACCTGTCATGTATACAATGTACCTTGATCATAGTCACCCTTTTCATCATTGTCCCCTTCCTAGTTCCTAAATATAGATCCTAGAAACATATATTTACTTTATTGATTAATAAAGAATCTGCAAATGAACTATATAATTTGTGGGTGGGATGGGAGGGGAAAAACTGGAAGAAAGCGAAGGAAAGATTGACATTATCCAAGAATAAATGTACTCATTACCTGATTTATGTAACTGTAACCCCTAGGTACATCATCTTTGTAATAACAATAAAAAATAAAAAAATTAAAAATCTAGTAGAGGCTAATTCAATCTAACAACTTCCAAAAGAGTATTTAGCAAAAATGAAGTATTTCTGCCAAATGTTTTTTTCCATCTTCTCCTTTAAAAATATAATTTATTAGATTTAATATGCAATTTAAACTTTCATTTATACATTGATATACTATTTTAACAAATGTACAGAAAAGTCTAAAGAGTTTGCTATATTCTACTTTCCCAGATTCACAACACCTTGGAAAAATTTTAGTATGGTTAATGTATGAATAGGTTTTCTGAGAAGTAACATTGGTTTAAAGCATATAGCCATTTAAGTCCCTCTCATACAATGCCAACTGTAAGCCTTGTCTTTTCTGGTTTTTTTTTCACTTTGGATTTGTGGCTTAAAGATAGAGATGCAGGAGGCTTGGTTTAATGAAGAAGATTTTTATCACTGAACAGCATAAACAGTATGCTCTGAAATGCACTGAACTCAAACCCAGTCTTGGTTTGGGGGATGAGGTCATGTTACAGAGGCTGGCTGGATGTCTCTTTACATCTGTCAACTTACTCTACTGCTGACTGAAGAAGTGCTGCGTGTACTTGGGGCTGGTGATCTCTGAGTGACCAAGACTATACCATTGCTCCGGAAGCTTTTTGGGATCCCAGGTCCAGTCTCCTGATCAATGAGATCTGATGAAGCAGTGCTTCCCCTAAAGGAAAAGAACATTCATTCAGACTTTAATAAGGAAGCAGAGTGACAACTAAAGACACAGGCAGAGAAATTCTGACTCGAAAATGGTGAGGACATGTTAATAACACTAAGTTAACAAGAGTCACTCTGGAACTACTCAGAATAACGTCACACTCCTCAAAGACTTTCAGGCCTTGTTAGGTTGACTCCATTTGCCAGACTCTAGGGCACTTGGCAATGAACTTCACCCTACCTTTCCAACTTTATTTTCCAATCCTCAAAGCATACTCTCAGTGCTGGGAAGGTGGCTCAGTGGTAGAGTGCTTGCATTGCATGCATGAAGCCCTGGATTCAATTCCTCAGCACCACGTAAGTTGAAAAAGCCGGAAGTGGTGCTATGGCTCAAGTAGTAGAGCGCTAGCCTTGAGCTGAAGAACTGAGTGACAGCGCCCAGGCCCAGAGTTCAGGCCCCACAACTGACCAAAAAACAAAACAAAGCAAAATAAAAAACCATACTCTCAGCCATTCCACGGCCCTGCTTATTCTCTCAGTTCATTTCCTCTTGCCACCTCTGTTCTACCTAGTTCTCATTTGCTTACTATCTGGCCAAGCCATTCTATAGTACTTGACAACAGAATGTCTCATTTGGTGTTCGAATGTACAGTCCTTGGTGTCTTTCAACTTTGAACTTCCTGGGAACAGACTATGTGTCATATTTACCAGGATATCTCCAATATATTCCTCAAGAAGTAATTCAGCATATGCTTAATCAAAGATTGGAAATTACATTTTATTTATTTGTGGTTTTAGTTTATGACTCATAGTGTATATTTAATAAATGTGCTGTGAAAATAATGACATTTGGTAAATTGGCTTGAATAACATTCATATTTGCTAAAAGGATTCATTTGTATTTAATAATGCTAGAAGGAAAAGAGTAATTCCTGCCTTTCATGTGATCACAATTTTCTCATTAGGTGGAGCTTCCTAAGCCAATGTACAGTTTTGACAAACTAAAATTTAAGAGAAGAGTTTGACACACTTTGTTGTCACACAGTATGTGTATGACAAAAATTCAGAATAAAAACAGACTTGTCTATCCAACCAAAGCTTGTGCCTATTCTAGTCTCCCACAAAGCTCATTCATTGTTTCACTAAGATCAAGTTCTTCTAAACAAGAATTTATTATCAGAATGAGTTAGCAAGAGGAAGATAAAGGAGCAGAGAGCAGGAAATGCAGTTTTGGGGATTTGATTAAGAGAATTTTGAATTTTTTTCTGGGCAGCATGCTTATGATGGTCTATGACCTCCTCTTTATAGAACTAGCTCTCCCATTTACAGTGCTATGAACTCAGTTCAGGAGGAGCTTATGATTTTATCTGTTGATTCTGACAACAACCCAATTTTCTGATTAAGGAGACTGATATAATTTAGAATTCTAAATGTCTGATCCCTCCTATCAAATGATACATTTCAACAGTTGAAAACAGTTAGGGATTACTTTTTAAAGACAGAGTCTATCTCTGTAGCCAAGGCTGGCATAGAATTTGTCATCCTCCTGCTTCTGTCACGATAGTAGCTGGGTAGTTAGCCAAATTCACACTTTTCCAAATGTTTCTGTTCACTGCAGTGTTTTACTTAGAAGGAGCTTAGAGATGTGCTCAGTGATACTATGTTCTGACCATACACTTTCTACTTTCAGAACAATAGTCTTCAAAAAGCTCTCTCTAAGAGAGGTGTTGGCGACTTATGCCTATATTCTTATTCCTCTGAAGACTGACATTCAGGGGACCACCATTCAAAGCCAGACCAGGAAGAAAAATCCATGAGCTCTTATCTCTAAAAATAACCAGCAAAAAAGCAAGTATGGCTCAAGTGGTAGAATGCCAGGTAAGCAAGTAAGCTGAGCAAGTGCAAGGTTTTGAGTTCAAGCATTGCATAAAAAAGAAAAACAAAACAGAACTCTCCTCATTGTTTGAAGCTAAATAAATAAATAAGTAGATAAATAAATAGTCTCCATTAAAAATAGAAAGGTTAAGGGTAAATCTTGTGGAAAGAGTCAAGAGTCCTAACGAAAGGGATTCATGAGGACAATTTTTCTTGTGTCAGAGCTAAAGATCTTCCCAGATCTAGGTGGTTTGGACCAAGTTCCTATCATGGATTAGCCTTATCAAAACTAAAAGCACTATATATGGAAGCTTTGGTAGAAAGTGATTAATTGTGGTGATAAATTCAAGAGGCTATCCTGTAATAAGGAAATAATTTTTGTGATCCTACGTCAAAGTCAGCTACTGGAAAATATTGCTGCCAGCCACATTATCTCAAAGATGACATACACTTTCCCATTTGTCCCTGACATTTACTGTGAGCTCTTCAAAAAACATTTTCCTTTCAGTTGATTAGACTAAGAAAACATTTAGTCTAATGAGGCAGAGAACCATAAATATTTGAGTCCCAACTCTTTTAGATGTTATATGAAATATGACATAAAATACATGAGCTTTTGCCACTTAAATAGGAAGCTGAAACAAAAGGTTTCTCGTCTAAATTAAAGTAGAAACATTTAAGGCTAATTAAGAAAGAGCTATTTTTTAATTCAAATATGTTGCTGTGATTTAAATAAGAAGTGTTAGAAATCAGAGCCAATAAACCTGTAAGCTAAAGTGTAGTCAAGGAAAACTGGCAAGATGGAGACACATTTACCTCATCTTAATAGGAGCCAAGTGTAGTGATATGTCATTGTTAGGAGCACTTGGCTATTCTACGTTACTGAAAAACACATTTTCTAAGTTAGTTAGTTAGGAAATATATCTCATTTACTTTAGTTCATGAAATATACTTTCCAAAGCCTCTGTTTTGTTGCCTGTAATCCCATGCTACTCCCAAATCTTGATGATGGCTTCTCAGATGTATCTATTTCTTACATAGAGGATCCAAGGATAGGTAACAGGGTGGAGAATATAATTTAATGAGTTGCCTTTCTGGTTTACACAATGGCCTCCCAGGTGTCATAGTGAGGAAATAATTTTCAGGATGAAGCACTTCCAAAATGGCTGACAATGTTAAGCCTATGCTGCTGGTTAAATGAGCACTCTCAAAAGGCAATATTAACATGGGAAACACTAACATTCACTAACACCAACACAGATCCAATATTGTGTAACATAGACTCAATATTTCTTTTGAAGTATATGAAATTTTCTAACTTTAGTTATTTGTATTCTAATATTAATAGGTAGGAAAGAATGTCAGATGAGCATGCTAAATGGGAAATAAATACCAAGGATGAGAAAGAAAAGGGGAAAACATTGAATGCAGCTGTAATTCCTGGTCTTTGGTGATTCCAGATGCTGTCTTTGTCAACTGCCGTATGTGAGATGAGTGGTCCTCAACTTTGGCTGCACATTAGAGACACGTACAAAGCCGTCAAAAATCCCCATAGCCAAACCATACCCTACACTAATCACACTGAATCATGAGCATGGGATCTAGGCATCAGCACGTTTTAAAACTCGCCAGGTTATTCCAATATGTACCTAAGGTTAGAAAACATTGGATCAACTGTGCTACAAGGTCATTGATTTCAGACATCTGTCCACCTGCACTATCCCCTTCCTTTGTCCCATGATGTTTTTCATTCAGCCTAGTGCTCACATGAAGACAGCTGAGCTGTTCTCATGGTTCACACTGTGATAAATGGAAAGATACTTTCTGTATAGGGAGCAAATACATTGTATGGGCTAGCAAACTATGGCTTATGGAATAAATTTGGCCACCAAATATTTCTGTATGGCTAGTAAGTTAGAGTAGTTTTGGATTTTTTAATAATTGAAAACAGAATAATGTTCTGTAATATGAACATTATATGTAATCCAAATTTCAATGTATAGAAATAAAACATTTTTGGAACATAGGAATGCTTATTAATTTATGTATTCTTCCAATTTCATGCTCCAACAGGACAACTGAGATGGAAAGCATGTGGACAATTTTTAAAGTCTGGTAAGAAGTTTTCTATGAGCATTACAGTACTTTATCTAATAATCAAGACAAAGCAGAGTTAACTTTGAGGATCTGGTCAAGCTTGAATATTCCCACCTCGTTCTCTTCCCATGGCCACTGAGAGGATGCTGCAAAGATGGCAGTGGAAATTGCATTCAGGGCAAAATTAACTTTACTTTGCATGAAACAAAACAGATGCATCATTTAATAACTCACTTTCCACAAATAATATATATGAGGAAAGGTATAAAAAACCATATTTCCAGGAGAGAATGACAGCTCTGCATGGTTTCTAATGGTTCCTTGTCACTTTCAGAAATTCATCTTCTGGCCAGGGAGATAGAGGTGTACATATGACTTGGATTTTGTTTAACCTTTCACTCATATTGTAGAGTAGTTAATTAAAACACAGAACTCCTTGCTAAATTTGAATTTTAGATAATCAAAAAATTTTAAAGGGGCTGGGAAAGTGGCTCAGTGGTAGAGTGCTTGCCTTGCATGCATGAGGCCCTGGGTTTGATTCCTCAGCACCACATAAGCAAAAAGAAAAAAGCCGGAAGTGGCACTGTGGCTCAAGTGGTAGAGTGCTAGCCTTGATCTGAAGAGCTGAGGGACAGCACCCAGGCCCAGAGTTCAGGCCCCACGACTGGACTCTCCCCCCCAAAAATGTTAAGAATTAGGATGTTCCAAATAGATGAAGAAAATATATTTAAAAGTTGTGGAAGTGGTGCTGTGGCTCAAGCGGTAGAGCTCTCACCTTGAGCTGAAGAGCACAGGGACAGCACCCAGGCCCAGAGTTCAAGTCCCACGACCGACAAAAGAAACCTTAAAAGTTGTATATTTCAAATTCAAATTTACCTGGGTATTCTGTATCTTATTAAGTTTAGAAATCCCACCTGAGGTTATCTATAGTCAATGTCTATCTGGTATGAGTTTGCAATGGCTCAGCTCCGTCAAATGGACAAAGCTTGGGGACATTGTTCAAGCTCCAGAGTCCTTTGTGAGATTAGGCTAGATCCTTAGACTCAGATTGCACTTGAGATACTACCATTACTTAGATACTCTTCTCTATTCTACCAGTCCTAGGCGCTTATGTTTTTCTCCTGAAGTAATTTCATTAATAAATGACTTGCTTTTGAATCTTGGTCTGATAGAGAACTCACAAATCATAGCACAGCAACTACTCAGCACAACTTAGAAGGGATACATTACAATCTTAAAAAAAAACTCTTCAGTCTAATTTGTCTAGTTCCTAGCAACCAGTGAGTGAATAGCCCTTTGCCATTCAGTTTTCAGAGCTGAAGAGACTGCTAAGCCTTCCCTAACCCTGCTTTCACATTACTGGAAAAAGATGAATCAATTAGACATCTAATAAATTATCGTTTCCACTTTGATAAGATATGAATTTTAAATAGAAATGGCTAAGCCTAGATGCTCCAGAACAAAGACCAGTAAAACATGAAGACATATGAACTGTGGAGGAGGAAAGGAGAATAATTGCTGAGCTGGGACAGGTAACAGACCAAAGAGGAGAATATCACTATCTCTTTGGATGATAGGAGTTAAGAAAAGGTAGGAGCTACACTTTAATGACTCAAGTCTGTAATCCTACCTACTTAGGAGGCTGAGACTTGAAGATCAAGGTTCAAAACCAGCCCAGGCAGGAAAGCCCATGAGACTCTTATCTCCAGTTAAACTCCAAAAAACCCAGAAGTAGAACCATGGTTCAAATGGTACAGCACTAGCCTTGAGCACAAAAGCTCAAGGACAGAGCCCAGGCCCAGAGTTCAAACCCCAGGACTAGTAAAAAAAAAAAAAAGATAAAAACATAGGCCCTGACATTTACCCAAATGCTTACAAACAAGACCACACTAAAGCTACCACCACAACTATGTTTATTGCAGCATTATTTACCATAGCTAAGATATGGAACCAACCCAGATGACCATCAGTAGATGAATGGATCAAGAAAATGTGGTATATATACACAATGGAATTCTATGCCTCCATCAGAAAGAATGACATTGCCCCATTTGTTAGGAAATGGAAAAACTTGGAAAAAATTATATTAAGTGAAGTAAGCCAGGCTCAAAGAAACATAGGTCCCATGGTTTCCCTTATTTGCAATATCTAGTATATGTATGAGTCAAGCGGAAAAGGTCAGATAATGTGATGTCAGGAAAATGAACCCTTAGATATGTATTTTAATGTTTTTTCTTTCATGCATGTGTTTCTAACGCATTTATAAGATTATCTCTTTGTTGCTTTGTATGTCCCTCCCCCACAGTATAACCCCTGCTTTCACTATATTTGATGTCAGTATAACTTGTGGAGGAGATGGGGAAAAACCAGTTGTTTAAGGATACAGGTGGATCTGATGCAACAATGAGAAGTACAAGTTGTCATGTCCAAAACGAGCTTTACAACGTCGGTGCGGGGGGGGTTTAGGGGGGGAAGTGGGTGGGAGGGAGGGGGGAAGGAGAAGGATTGGGATGGGGGGAGGGGGGAGGCTGGGAAGGGATGGGAAGGGTAAACAAAGGAGGAGGCTGCAATGCTTGGTAAGAAATATACGCATTATCCTGCCCATGCAATTGTAACCCCTCTGTACAGTATGTTCACAAATAAAATAAAATAAAATTAAAAAAAAAACATAGGCCCTGAGTTCAAGTCCCAGAACTGGAACCAAAAAAAAAAAGAATAAAAAAAAGACAAGCAACTTTCTGTCCCAACTTTCTAAGGAATCTTTTTGGAATAATGGAACATATCTCACTGTGGCAGTCCATTAATGAGTCATTATCATTGTAATTAAACACATGTCCCGGTAATGTACTATGTGATTTTTTTTGTTTCTTTTATATGTTCTTCCCCCATGGTATAACTCCTGTCATCACTATATTTGATTCCAGTGCCCTGCATCTTGTATATACATTTTTCTAATTTGGGGAGGGGAAAGAGTTGGGGAGGTGGGGAGAGAAGGGATAGTAGGGGAAAACAAAGGAGGGGTAACAATGCTCGATAGAAAATGTACTCATTACCTTACTCATGTAACTGTAGCCCCTTTTTCTGTACAGTAGCTTTACAATAAAAATATTAAAAAATATGTCCCTGGAAAAGGACACTTTGCTCTACTTATCTCCTGAGTATCTTTAGTGTTGGTCTCAAGGGGAAAACACTGTTCTTGACAGGCTAAAGCCAAGGCAGGGATTCACAATTCAAGCAATAAACAATTTCAGGACTTTCTCCCAGTTCACAGTAAGAACGAGAAAGCTCTCTCCAAACATCTCTCTCCAAACATCAGTGTTTGGAGAAACTACATATACATATGAATTTACAGCTTTCAGGCAATAGGCAAGGCACAGGGAGTACATCCAATTAGACAAATTCTAGAACAGTACAAGTACTACGATATTGGGACTATGTCTCTGGTTCTTACTGAATAACTGTTAGACAGATAACTTAAAGGGCATGATCTAATTTTGTTAAATAGGCTTGGAGTCTTTGCTTCTTTGTTAAACAACTCTATTTCCTCTTTTCTAAATTGTCCCTCTTAAATGCCAGCCAAGATGGCTCAGAGTCCCCAAGAGCAACACAAACTGAGCTATGTATCACTTCTAAATATTTTTTTTTATGAATGTTATCTTAGAGTCAGGGGTCTAACAATTAAAAATGAGATTTTTAAAGAAAGTGTTCCGGGATATAACATAGAAGAGAAGCAAACCAAGATTAGTTCAAGGACAGACAACCATTATATGATTTTTTATTGTGAAATTTTTATCAGTAGTCTTGGAACTTGGGGAAATATTCACACATTCCTTGATAGTGGATAATAACTGATTTCTTTTTAAATTTATTTTTTTCTGAATAGTTTTACAAAAAGTAATAGTGGCTTGCAGGAGTGATGTACAAAATAAAAAAGTAGGTATGGAGAATCACCATGGGGGAAAATAACTCAGTAGTTAAAAGAGTGGACCTTCTGGGGATTAGTCTAAAAATTAGTCTAAAATATATTATAATGTGTGGGTTCAATCTCCAGCATCATGGGAGAAAAGGGATTAGAAAGATCACAAGATTACAAGGAGAATTCAATTCTGCTTGTAGAACCTAAGGAAAAGAGAAAAAGAAAAAAAGGCTGGCAGTTTTAGTGCCTGAACTAGTATATTACTGCAGCTCCAAGCAAACAAAGGAGTTAACGTTTGGATATACCAATGAACCATGAGCGTAAATCTTTTAGGTCTCATCTCTAGCTTTGATACATGAATCATGAAAATAAGCCTTGACTTTAAGAAAATGAAATCTGATCAGAAGTGACTATGCTCCTAGATTTCATTGCTATTTGTCCTCACTTTTCTGACAAGAGATAGCTTTGTGCATAGGATATTTTCACTTGTTCCCTCTGAGAATAAGTTAGAGGAGGTAGAACTAGAAGAAAATGGAACTGATGGAAAATACTATGTCAACTCAAGTGATGCAATTATTAATGTTTTTGAAAGCTGCAAAAATTAATATGAAACCTAGAAGCTTATTTTTCAGGTGCTGTAATAGAGGAAGATCATATCCATAGTCATGCATATGTAAGTACATGTATATGCATAGATATTTATATATGCACACATACAGAACATGATACTATTTGACCATTTAAGGGAACAACAGGGAGGTTAGGATAGGGAAAGAGAAAATAGAGGGTGAATAGTGAAGAAATATATTGTACCTATGTATAAAAAAATAGGACAGAGGGGATGGGGAAGAGAACATGAGATATATCCATATTCATAAAACTATGGTGAAAACCTCTGGTAAAATTAATATACACTAAAAATAAATGAATGAGATAAAAGTAAAACAGGCTCTGTTGGGGAAGGGCAAGTACCAGTTGTAAGGAAAAGGGTGAAAGGAGAACTATGAGTTGAGCACCAGTGGTTTAAACCTATAATCCTAACTACTCAGGAGGCTGAGATCTGAGGATCATGGTTCAAAGCCAGCCTATGCAGGAAAGTCTGTGAGACTCTTATCTCCAATTAGCCACCAAAAACTTGGGAATGGAGCTGTGGCTTGTGTGATAGAGTGTTAGTCTTGAGCAAAAGAACTCAGGGATAGTGTTCCAGCCTCAAGTTCAAGCCCCAGGATTGGTACAAAAAGTAGAACAATAAAAACTGTTGAAATTGTTCTGAGAAGAGTGGGAGATGGAAAAAGGAGAAGTGATGGGGGAATGTTTGATTGGGGTGCATTATATGAACGCATGCCAGTGCCTCAACAAAATCCTCCGTGTACAATGCTAATGAAATATTCTTAGTAACACAAGAAATTAATGAAGGAATATATCTGACCATTGAACTACATCCTTTAGTCCCCAAACATAAATCTGCATCCCTGCAGGTGACACAATGGTCCCAATAGATATAATCTAGAAGGAAGGTAAGTGCTTTCCATTTCAGCTAAAAATTATCTTCCTGCCTTTTGGTATTATGTGTTAGGTCTCCAAGCAGCAATTCTTTACAGACACTTAGAAGCCCAAATATCCAAGTGATTCCCATTGTCCGTTCTGTGTTTCTCTTACCTGTCTGAACCGGGGGCTGACTTTGATCCCCGAAAAGTTTGACTGTCTAAATCCAAGCTGTAACTCCGACCACTTTCAGTTTTTGGAGTTGTGATTTCTCCTCTAGTTGCTGATCGGAACTTGCTAAGAAGAAATCTGAAAGCATATTAACATTTAAAGGTAAGATACAAAGAAAGCATGGAAATACCACTTTAAGGACACACTTCTAGAGCTGGCCATAAGTGGCTCATGCCTATAATCCTAGCTACTTAGGAGGCTGAGATCTGAGAACTGAGGTTAAAAGCCAGCTGGAGCAGGAAAATCTCTAATCTCAAATCTTCAATTAGCCATAGAAACAAAGCCAGAAGTAGAACTGTGGCTCAAGTAGTATAACATCTGCCTTCAAGGAAGAAAGCTAATAAATAGCATCTAGGCCTTGAGTTCAAGCTCTGGTACCAGCATACACACACACACACACACACACACACACACACACACACACACACACACACA